TGACTCCTGCCGGTATATTTCCTATCAAATATCCATAGAAGTACGCCCTGAGTACTAGACCTTGCACGTTTTCGTTCCAGTCGAATTTTTGTTCCTGTCTAATAAAACAGATCAACCAGAAATATTAGGTGATTCACGGCCATGGTCCGTCAGACACCTAGATCATATACTTACGTGGATAAATCAACGCCATAAGTTTAGCATTAAAAAATATGTCTCCAACATCACGACATGCCATTTTCAAACCTTCTTTATTGCACTTATGAAACGTTCAATGGGTTTGTCTTGAATCATATGTCATAATTTTATTTCCATTATGTAACGATGCTTGTTTGTAGCGTTTTTTAATTTAAAAATTGTATTAATTATTCTTTTATCGACCGCTTTTATATAGCCAAGGATGCAAGTGTGTTCAGTGAGAAGTGAGAAGTTAATTTTAAGTTTGTGCAATTATATTTCTATTTTTTTTTCGTTGGACTTTCTAAATACCTCCTCGTAAAAATGACTAGAAAGTGTTTAGTGTGTGAAAGTTCTAATATAAAGGTCCCCGAATTATCTTTTCATAGGCAACTGAAGTATTCAGTTGTTCTTTTATTTATATTAAGCCACATGCATACTTTCTGGTTAGATTTCCTAAGAATATTGATATTCGTACGGAGTGGCTAAATGTATTTTTTATATAATTTAATTTTTATGACAGTAAATATTCAATTTATTGTTCAAATATAAGCATTTTACAAATTAAATTTGTGTAAATGTTCAAATTTTGGCGCGCCGACGATAGGTCTTTGACAAGGATAGATAGAGTAGAAGGACCGCGTGTGCAACAAAAAAAGAAGATAAATGGAAGCCGTTGGTATGTTTGCGACAGTTTCCATAGTGATTTACTCTATCCACGTATATATATGATCTAAGGTCAGACATTTATGGAGGAGAACCAGTGATAAGATTTTTTTTGAAAATTTGGATTTTTGCATAAAGGCACCTGCTCCATCTTTCTAAATTTTTTCAACGTTACAGTGTTGCCGCTTCGTACTAAAAGTGGTAGCATCTTTGATAGTTTAAATGAAATACCTGTTAAATTATTACATTTTTTTTCAGAAACTATTTTCCTTATCCCATAATTTTTTTTCTTATGCTAATCTGTACCTATCTGTAATATTTGTGAGATAAAAAATAAAACATTTGTAAAATTGACAAAATATGATCTTCCCCTAATAAGCGTTGGTTAAATAAACCATATATTTAAGCCATAATTAAATAACCATTGATTTATAGATCGAATAAATCGACTTTCGTTTACATATATAACCCTAATTTCAACTTTAAAAATGTTCAATTTATGATTTTACCAATGCTTATTCAAGATCATTTTTAGTAACGTAATCGAGGTCGCGATTTTTAAATTCATTGTTGCCAACCATGGGCATATTAGCCGCCGGGCTGACTAACTGGAATTTAAATTTCCCGCTGGGGATTCAGGTAGTACCTCTGCAGTAAAAAATGTCAAGTTGCCACATTTATTTAGACACTCTAGTTTTATATTACGAGTTTTTGGTCTAAATTCTATTGGAAAAAATTCTAATTGGACATTCTATTAGGAGGTGGTACACTGTTAATTGGTTTGGTTTTAATTTGGAAAGAATGGGAGAAATAGCAGTGACCCAACCTGAGCCGATTCCAAATTCCTGACCGTCCCTAAACGCGCTCAATATTTTACATAGTAGATAATATATTATAGTAGTTACTAGCAGGTTCCTTTATGTAAAAATCAAAATTTTCAAAAAAAAATATTACCGGTTCTTCATAAACGCCATTCAAAAAAGGTACCATCGGAACCATACAAAAAAATCACAAAAAGTTATTTAACCATTGGACATTATAATATAGTGTCTATTTCTTGGTGGATTTTCACAAAATTATGTTAATTATAAATTATTTTTTAATAGAACTGTAATAATTTTTTTGTATTACTCTTTCATGGTCGAATACACTTACATCAGATACTGATTTGTTGTAAGAAGCTGGATCGTCCTTTTTGCATTCTGGAATAGAACCTTTTACCTTTCTGCTGTGACCATGGCTGGAAGACTAATAGACATGTTGCTTCTTGTAGTGTAATTTATATACGTCGTTATGAAGACCATAGCAATTATGTAGTAACGAATCGGTATACACGCACAAGCTAAAAAGGAAAGAATATTGTTATCCAAAATAAGTAATAAAATTATTGAAAAATTAGTTAAATAACTTACCCATTTTTAAGAGTATAACTGTAGTTTTTTAAGTTATACTCTATTTTTGTGTAGTTGTAGGTACCCTTTAGAACCGCATATTTTTTGGGTAACCCGTTTGACAAAAAAATTATATCAAAGTCAAATTATGTCAATGTAAACCCAACTGACCAACAGTCTTTCAACTACTATAATTCTTTTGTAAAAATTTAGCATATCGTCTGGATCACAATAGAGTCATTGTTTCATTGTTTAATAAATCATTTAAGAGTTGCAATATTGCAGTTTTAAAATACAATAGTAAGCGATTATTATTGGCGATATAACCGATATCTTTTAAATTCATTGTAGTTTTCTATTTATGATATGTATGTTTAATCATTTTAAGTACTGAAGATTTTTATACGTTTTTATTTTTGCATTTTGTATAATTTCCTTAGAATATTTTTAGACCTGTCGTGTCCTCCTTTCTTGAGTTATAACTCATCATACAGTCTTAGGGCTTTAACAATAATATTAACAGCTAATATTTAAGACGGTTTTACAGAGGTTAGGTCTCCATCGCAGATCGCACAGTGGTTCCCCATATTTAGCTGCGCGGTCATAACTGTTAGATATCTAGATATAGCTTGACGAAACTTTTTTAATAGAAATTGATAACAAGTGCTAAATAAATGTATATAAAAAACTTAATGTAATATGTATTAAAAAAATTGGGCCCAGTTCGTGTGATTTGCATTTTAATTTCTAACTATTCGGAAAGGTATATACAGATTATGTTTGCACATATTTATGTACGTGTTTTTTCCTATTGAAGAGGTCAAATTTATTTTAAATGTTGAAAAAATTAAAGAGACAGTTGTTTCATTTTATAAATACAATTTTATTGTCAATTGATATACAGTGTGTCCACGAAATAAGTTGACACGAAGAGGAAAAAATAAGTTACTTTTATTTTAAGACAAAAAGTCAATCTTTAACCACCCCTTATAAGTATTATCAGGCCGTTTAAGAGGATTTGAAATGAAAAGTAGTTAAAAGTCTTAAAGAGTGACAAGCAAAAATGTAAAAATACTATTTTTGTTGCCTTCAAATAAATTGCCATGAACTAATAATACTTAGGTTTAATTAAGTGCAAAAAAGAAAAAACAGTTCTTTTTACCTTCTTTTCGAACGTTCATTACAGAAAAGGCAATAGCTTTTATCAATTTTAATAAAATAAGTAATTAATTGGCGTTATCTGAAAACTGTTTATGTCAGCTTGATATCAGTAGCAAAATGTGACATTTTCTAATAAAAACAGGCGCTAGCACTAGGCTTACTTCATTTTGTTATTTATTATGTATCGTTTACAGGGGAATATAAGAAAAATATTAGCAACAGTTTCATGCAAACATTTTGAAATTAATATTTCTAAGTAATGACCTATCTGGGAACCACTGTGCATCGCCGATATTAGTCATACCTTTAATCTTAATCAAGGGTCATACCAAAGTTCATGGAACGAATGGTTATGGTTGTACCACAGATTAGGTATACTATATGTATACAGATAAAAATCTTATCCCTAATTCGTGGTACAAAAATTGTTTTTTATGACGATGTGCAAACGAGTAAAATTTCCTGTGCGCAAAAATAAACTCGCGTAAAATAACAATAAACGGCGTAATATATAATAATATCGCTAAACCGAATAGCGTGCATGGAATAAGGCCAGGTGTTATTTCCTTTACGTGAGGTTTCTGTTCACAAGTTTCTGTGAAGAATTCTGTTCGCGTCGCGTTCGCTATTTAAACTTAACCTAACTTTGAATTTAAAACTTTGAAATTGTTTTGTTTACTAGGTATTTTAAAACTAAAGGGCTAAAGTGCTTATTTCCAGTGCTTCATTGTTCAACGTCTGCCAGTGGGTTTAGGGCAACAAGCAACAAATTCTCTTAGAAGGGCTAAGTCAAGTCATACCTTAAACCTAACCTCCTCTTTATAGGTTTTATAATATTGGAAGAGATTGAGATCCTATATTTTGTGCCATATTTATTTAATTACTAAACTAATCCCAGCTACTTAAATATCAAATTACCTAATAAAACTAAAGTAATAATTCAAAACAATTCAAACATAACCTAAAATAAAAGATCTCGCCGCTCGCCGGCCGGGCCCCGGTTGCCAAATGTACCGCACATGCCCATTTAAGCAATTTTAAACGTTATTTAGAAATAGCGCTTGGTGTAATTGATCCGCAAATTACGTCAGGCGGTAACGTTATTAGCGGGTGTTGCGTTAAAAATTGACTCGCGCATATCGTAACCATGATAAGGTACGCGTAAATACTGCATGACGCTATTCGGTTTTCCGATATCTCTAATAACTGCTCCGGTCCGGCGCTGTGCACAATTTTAGAGGCCATAAGTGGGCGTGCTATGTGCGCAAACTAGTAACCTCTAACTAGTGCCCGATTCGGAAAATTGGAACCACGAAAAACTATAAAGAAAAAACAAAGTTTATAATCTGTATGATCTGTGGTTGTACTATTGGCGCACTCAGTAATGAGGTGTTCTAGTGTTTTACCATTTTCCCCACAGAATCTGCATTCGCCCTTGTTTCTTACCTGCAATCCACTGAGGCGTTCAGGAGAAGACAGTGTCCTCTCTTCCAATGCTTTTTATTACTCAATACTACAGTGTAGTATTCCTCAAAGTTGTACATTCTTAGTATGTCATCCACTGGAAGTTCGAGGAGTAAAAAATACTGAATAAAACACGTTAAATAAAAATGATAAGTCTTTTATATTATTATTAAAAATAATTTACACTTTAAACTATTTCACACTAAATACATTCACACAAAAATGCACAACTTAACAGTCTACGAATTTAATTTGGTTGTTTCGTTTGGTTTTTGCTTCTCATCGTCCTGCTCGTCAACTTCCTTGAATGAGACTCCTTCTTCAGTATCTTTGACAGGAGTTTTACTGTTCCATGATTGCATTTCGGATGTTCCGAATAATATGAAGAACAATCCACATCCAACGTAGACGCTGCCTCCGATAATAAAGTTTTGGGACCATTCGTGTATACCATTCTACAAAAATAGTTAAAATAGTATTAATTAAAGTTTAATTAAAGTCTGCTCAAAAAGGAAAATGATAATTTTTAAGTACACTACAGTTCAGTTCAGTCTCCAAGTTATTAGGTTTTTGAAAAGGATAGGATTAGAATGCAACCTAATCTAGAGAAAATACAAGGACCACTATAGATCTGAAAAGATCGCATTGAAACAGGCAGATAGGGCTGATAGTCACGTTAAAACCCTAATCATATACTATACCGTGTGTTGCATCGAAACACGGGACATTGGAAATCCCATGTTAATTTTGAAAAGGTCAAATATTATCTCCCCAGATGATTTTTAGTTATTTGCAAAGATCTACCTTCAAATTAGTAAAATTTATAGTACATCCCAGAGAAAGCTACAATTAAAATACCAGCAAAAATGTTATTGTGTTAATGTCAAATTCAATGTAACATTTTGTTTACAAAAATTTGAAGGTGCAAAACAGAGTACTTTTGCACAAAACATCCCTCTTTTTACATCAAAAAGATCACAGAAAGATATTGACAACATTCACATTTGAAAATATAAATGGCCTGGATGTAAGTCTTTTTTTAGATTGCACAATTGCCCCTCACATACGTCAGAATTTATTATTAAATCCATTTTGTTCAGAATATCCAATATTTTATTGAAGAACTATGCAAAAAAAAGAAATGACATTATAAAAAGGTATTTAGTTTTTTTTCTATATAAAATCTTGAAACACATTATATTTTTTAGTTATCCTCACCTATTATAGTTTAAATTTATTCCCATTTGTGTAATGCTGCAAAACATAGAAAAAATATTCCATATTTTTTTACCCAAGCCAGTGTAGTTTATAATTCCAAGAGCATTTACCAAGGCTTTTACTAAGACAAGTAACTTCCTATACTGTCCATAATAGTATATATTTATCAAACGTGCAGTAAATTCTAAACTATGATAGGTAAGTGTTTGCAATTGAATATTTAGTTTATATTGCTATTTTCTGTTATATATTTCTGGTTATTTCTTTTTTCGATGATCTTGAACACCCTATATATGCTACCTCAAGTTTGAATATTTACACACTAGTACACTACATACCTATTTTCTGAGAAAGCAGACCTTTTTATAAAAAGTAACTAACTGATGTTTTCAAAAAAGTAATAATACAAAAAATTCCATACTTATGTGGAGAGCTTTATATACTGACTCCCTGTATATTATAAAAATTAGTGAAATATTACGTAATCTAACCCGACATTTGTGTGAAAAATGTCAATTTGAAAATAAAACAGGTTTTAAAATACGCGCCAAATAAAGCACTTCTAACTCCGCCATATTGGAGAAGGTTGAATGGCTTTGTGTGGAGGTGGTGGTGGGTCAGCATGGTGGCCCGGCGTGTTGCCGCTTTTCAACATGCCAGGTGTGACGTATTAAAAATAAAGTGCGGATTTTTATTCTGGGCTTTTTTGTTTTTATTTATTTTCTTAAGAACCACTTCAAATTTTTCGAAAGTGAGATAGCAGAAAATTTTAGAATTAATTGCTTTATTTAATTATGCTAATTCCAAAATATAGTGAAAGACCCCATTTTTGCATAAAATCATCTGGGGAGATAATATTTCACTTTTATATATGTCCCGCCAAACTCACATTTTCTGCCATTAATGCTCCTGTAACTGCTGGTGTTATAAAACCAGTAGTACCACCTATCAAACTGATAATTCCAAAAATAGTTCCGGCAAAGTTAGGTGCCAAGTCTTGAGCATTCTGTAAATTGGTTATTACAGCTGCTCCATTGATGGACATGCTGAAGATTAATATAAGAACAGCTCCTATGTAGTCACATTTGACTAACGTCATACACATCAGCAATATTCCTGGGACAATATGAGCTAAAATTTTTATTATTTTTAATTTTTTAGATATTTGGTTTAAACGCAATTATAATATTGACTTACAGAAAATTACAAAAAGCTTTCTGGTTAAAGTAGTGCCTATTAGTTTTTTCGACTTGATTTTGTCGCCTATGTATCCAAATCCTATTCCGAAGAACATTCTGAGAAGATGGGGTAAAGCGGCTAAACCACCAGAAGCCTATAATGTAAGTAAGTTAATCTAGAGGTATAGGTTTGGTGCATTTCAGTTGATTTCAAAAAATTCCGACCGCAGCGCTGTATACGGCAGAAATCAGAAATTTTCGCTATGTATTTCATGCCGTCCCGGTTACAGTTCATGTTGATCGCATTAAAATAATATTGAAATCGTGGGTTTGTCATAATATTAAGTATTTTAGATTTTTGCTAGTGCAATAGTTGAAAGTATAAAACACTCGGGTACGAGGTTTGTGTGATGTAACGCTGTTTCGCGTAGTAAAAAATAAGTGAATAAGAATCCCAACTCGGCGTCGTGCTGTGTTGTGGCAATTTCAAATGTTGCCGAAAAGATGTTAACGCGTAAAGGAGAGTGTAATTATGGGTGCAACGTTGTTGGGTGCAATAACATTCAATAACTCAACTTTCCCGGATATTCAAGAATCCCGAAACATTTTATAGCTTCATAGTGTCTCACACCCATTTGGTCAAAAGCAAAAATGGATTCAAGCAGTTCGACGAAACAAGTGAGTAAACAAAAAGTACCCGTAACTCAAAAAGTAAAGTGCCCGTTAAACAATCAAAAAATTAAATAGACGTAATACTATGAGAGGACAACAAATGTACAAAATGTAGAGGCTAATAAAAATCGTTTTTAGCAAAATAGTAATATACTAGCCCTTTTGTATGCAAAAAGAAATTTATATTTTTTTTTCTATTTAAATCTTAATAAAAGAGTATACCATTAATTAAATATACCACCAATATTTCCGCCCAAATACTAATTAATTACATACCTAATTATGTTCGTTAATAAATTATTCTAAATAAATGTGGATTTGATGTGGTTTGGTTTGGTTACTTTCAGAAATCAATATAATAATAAGTTATGAAAATGAATGTCTCTGTTGTTATAAATAAGCATTTGTCAAAAATATGATATATCATTTTTAGGTGTTACTTTTTACCACACTGTCTAACACACATACAAAATTCAGTTTTTTAGTATTTGGAGCAATTATCCTTAATCAACGTAAACAGTCAATTAATGTAGGTTGAATACTGGAATCATACTAATTGGTCCTCTTTAACAAATATTTAAACATTTTTTTTTATTTTTTAATGAAATAAACAAACTATATCGACAATATTAGTATCTGTACTCTTTAAAAATTTGGTACATCTTTAAAAATAATCTAAAATGTCAGTATTCCATGGGTATATTGATAAATGAATTTTGAATTACAAGAAAATGCATTTTCTACGGAAACTTGACGAGATAGGTAAAAATGGTGTAACACATTTTTGATAGACGATTAAACTGTGCATCTGATTCTCATAAAATATACAGGGTGTTCCATTTAAATGAAACAAGTTATTGCCGTTTAAAGCTAGTCATTATATAAAATAAAATTTTAGACACTCTGTATAACGTAGTATAATTTTTATTATTGCAGCACAATAACTGATCAATAAATAAACTTCAGTAAATATTTAGTATAAAAAACTTTTATACCCTTGGAGAAATGAAGCCTTAAAATTTTGACCGCAATTTCACAAAATAGAAAATATTTCAAAAACGGTAAGGTTTAAGTGTAATAAACCTTTATCGTTTATTTTAATCGTAGAAACTAAAAATGTAATAATATACAGTGTTCCGTTTTAAAAAATACAACTTTGATATTTTTTATTGTAAAAATATTTTTAAATTGTAGCTCTAATAGTCCTTCAACGAACCCAAAGCTTGTGAAAAAGCAATTTGTAAAAATCTAATCGTTTAGCTACAATACTCCGTGTCGTATGTGATGAACAACCTATAGGGAAATTAAAACAACTTTCGTTGCACGTCATCAATGACACCATGCGTCGTATTATGGAGTTTGCTGGTGGTCGTATTATGATGTGCAACCAAAGTTATTTTAATTTCCCTATATATCATTTTTTTACGATATTCTCCGATGGTGGCAGCACCGGCGGAAAATGCACTAAACCTATACATCAAAAATATCTGAATAATTTACCTTGATATTAAATCCGATGACCTCTACCATGAATTTTGGTACTCCAGTGATTTGAAGGTAAAGTCCCCATAAATTACCAAAATGCAGAATGCACAATGCCCAAAACGGTATGGAAGTGAATATTTTCCAGTAAGGTGGTACGACCTAGAAATAGCAACAGTTACGCACGTGTTGGAATTTATATCAAAATATGATGTTTGGAATTAAAGTGATAATAAATAACTTCGGCCTGTGCCAAAACGTTAAATAGAAAACATATTATGTAATGTATAAACATCTGATGTTTTAGTTTTTATTTTAAAAATGAAAAACATCTCAAGATTAGCATTTGATTAACTTGCAGTATATTTCAGAATCACTGTTTAATGTTTTGAGTGCCTAAATTTTGTGTTATTTAATTTTTTATTTAAGTAAAAAGGCTTAATAAAAAAAAAGTTTAAAAATAGCATACATATTAAAAAAGATTTTTTCATTATCAAACTGGCTATAAATAAAAGAAATTTTCCCATTTTAGAACATAATTATCTAATAATTTCAAGGTAAACGGAATTTATGCATCTTTAAAGTAAATTTACGGAAGGATCCAATAAACACTTGATTGCAAAACTATTAATGGCACTAAATTTACAGTTTTAATGTGTGTTTATACAATGAATCCATCTTATTTTCTATTCCTGTCAATTCACCTACAACGAAAAAAAAAACGAAAAACGACCATTTTAAAATTTTCAATATATTTTGTTCAAAAATGGCCAAGATTTTGATAATTTTTTAACTAATTTGTAGCTAGATTATTTGACTTTATAGTCTCTATTATACGAGGTAAAACAAAAATGTTTTTTGGCGAAACTTTGAAATACGCTGTAGAATGGTTTAACAACTTAAGGAATTTAAAAACCACTTTGTCTTCAGGGTGTTTTTTATTACGATAGTTATTTTTAATTGGCAGCTTTTTTTTGTTGGAGAAATTCGTTTTTAAGTAGGCAGTAAGGATTCACATCAATTTTAGCATTAAAAGCATGTGCGCAAAGTGTGTCCGTCTTTGCTTTTGGTCCTTATTAACACATACCGGGTGCGTCTGAAAAGTGGCTCACCCCTCTAACTTTTTACTTTTTCAGATAAAAAAACGAGGTTTGGTGTGTTAGTATATGACATAAATTAGGATTGATTGCCGTATTCAATTGAAGACTTGAAATAAATAATGTTCTAAGTGACAAAAATCGATTTGCAATGCTTTATTTGTAAAATGTTCTAAGTTCCATAACCACAATATATAAATCGCTAAGTGCCACGGCTATTAAACTGTATTAAAAAAAATCTCAACAGAGACACCGTCCGTTCTTATAAATTGGTTATATAACAAGAAATGTTGTTTATCTCATAATATTGATTTTGGCACTTAGAGCATTATTTACTTCAAGTCTTCAATTTTTTCGGTCACTTCCTGTTTCACCGGAAATGACTACATTTCTTTGGATTCTTAAATTGCACCATCGATATTTTTTTACTTTATTCGATAGAAAATGACATTCTGAATCGAATAACATATCATATGTTAACTTTTGACATATTCGCTCAAAAACAAATTGTATTTTAAATTTCAAACTAGAGTGCCATGACTTTGTTAAAAACACTAATTTTTAATCAAGGATCATCTAATGTTTCTAGCCTCTTGTCCTGGCCGGTTAAAAGATGTCCAAATCGTATTTTTAATCATATCTCATTTTCTTAAATGGAACGAGGGTGGCTCATTAGCATATTTGGTAAAAGCATTTTTTTACGAATAATTTGATACCACACACTTGCTATTTCGAGTGAAACTGTCGCACAGTGGGGTATTTGACACCGATAGTTGATCGAATTTTTTTTTTATGTAGACCATATATAAATTATTGATATTTTCAATTAAAGAGGAAATAATATGAACAAAATAAAGGATAATTCGTTGATTCTAAAAAAAGGAAGAAAAATCACTGTTCCAGTGTTTCCACGATCAATGCCACTAATGCCAGTAGTAATATCGCAACTAATACTACTAATGCTACGACTGATCCGCGACCAATGCCCATATCACTAAAGCCGCTACTAATACCAAATTGTGCTATACTGCTAATGGCACTAATGCGATCGCTTTGTACACGACAATGCCATCGCGGTTTACACCTCGCATTAGTATATCACTGATTTGCAAATTAGAGGAAACCAAGAATGTTTTTCTTATTTTATCAGCAAAGTCGCAAAAAGTCGCTGTATTTTATTTTACTCTGTATGAAAACCATGTTTACTAAGTAAAACGTATATAGAAAATATGCTGAATTCTTCGAAATGCGCAACTAAATCTCTAAGTACAATAAAAATGTCACAAATTTAATCAAATTTTCTGAACGCCTAACTTTTAGTTGCAAAAAAAATCGTTAGTATATAAATAATATGTCTTTGTAGAATACATACCTCCAGCTTGCTGAGCCATTTTCAATCAAAACAATAATATAAATGTAAAATGAGCACAAGAACAACAACAATTTATAATTTTAAACATAAAATTTAGCCATTTACCTCTTATCTGTGAGAAGTAACAACTTTGACGTTTCGTTGAAACAGATGAATGCAACTAAACACACCCATAGCAACGCCATTCATTGCAGACATGATTTAACTTATCATTTATCTTTTTTTGGGAAATATTAAACACATTTGCTTTTTCGAATTTCGATCACCTTTTTCATGCTAATACTCCAGCGTGTGTCGTTATGAACCGCAATTTACAATTTCTAATAAACCATATGCGAAAATGTTAAAAGTTGACATATGATATGTCATTCTATTGAGAGTGTCATTTTCTATCGAATAAAGTAAAAAAATACCGAGGGTGCCATTTAAAAATCAAAAGTTGTAGTCATTTCCGGTGAAACCGGAAGTGACCGAAGACAATTGAATATGTCAATCAATCCTAATTTATGTCACATACTAACATACCAAATCTCGTTATTTTATCTGAAAAAATAAAAAAGTTATAGGGGCGAGCCACTTTTGAGACGTACCCGGTATATAAAATCGTTTTTGTTTATATTCTTTTTTTTAAAGTGTTTAAACTACTAGAGTAACTGCCAACAAACAATTATTATTATAATATGACTTTTTAATGATAATGACATCACAAAAACAATGACAAACATCCTTCTAATTCCTAAAATTGATATTAAATGTTAGTCTTCTTCACAAATGAATATCTCTAACAGAAAAAAAGCTACTGAGGTGAATAAAAAAAACTATTGGGAAGACATGCACCTTGCGATCGACATTGAAAAATTATTGTCAGAAAAACCATTAGACTGAGTAAAGTTCAAAGGGTACGCTAACATTGTCCACAAAGACAAATATTATGATTTAAAAGCAATGTTTTGAAACATGAAATTTAAAAAAAAATAAAATAAAAATAAGTAAGATAAAAACAAAACTAAAAAAAAATACAAATCCATACAAAAAAAATTATTGAAAAAATAATTAGTTTTTTCTTTATATAGTCAGTATATACCTTGGCTTTGGACACAGTCTTTGCCTGTGACTTTTTGATAAAATCCTTCTCTTCTTCGGTGATCCACTTGTGTTGGTCAGGACTATCGGCCACCACGAACCAGAATACCAGACAATACACCCCGATTTGTACGGTCAAGAAATGGAACCCCCAATCCCATCCAACGGCTGCGGTGATCATACCCACCAGGACCCAGGTGAGGCATGTGCCCAGGGTGTTGCCCATAAGGGCACTTACGAATTTGCCCTTTTCGGCTGGAGGAGCCCAGCGAGCTATGAGGCATTGTAGAGCTGGGTAAATAGTTCCCTGCAATGAAAAAGGGATTATAAGTGTTTAATTTGAAATTTTACTATCAAAAACGAAAATGTTTGTATCTTCAGTACACCAGACGATCGAAAAAAAAAACGGCGTTAAAAAAGGCTGGGAATGACAATTTATCTATCCAAAAAAATCCTTATGGGTTTTTCGCCACTGCACTGCAAGAAAAATCTACAAAATAAAATAGTTATTTTTTGTAAACACTTCTGCGTTAAACCTAAACGGGCGCTGCTTGTCAGAAGTTGTGTTTACAGTAATAAAAATTTGCCTAACAAAGAAAAAAATGCTTATCGTTTCGGAAAGTTTTCTCTTTCGGTCGTCGGAAGCAAAAAAATATAAAGAATCAAGAAAAAAACTATTTAAAATACTTAAATTGAACTATTCGAGAACACTTTACTTTTTAAAACAGACGTCTACAAGAAATCGTTGACGTTCTGTTAACAACGATTTCTTGTAGACGTATGTGTTTTAAAAAGTAAAGTGTTCTCGAATAGTTCAATTTAATTATTTTAAATAGTTTTTTTCTTGATTCTTTATATTTTTTTGCTTCCGACGACCGAAAGAGAAAACTTTCCGAAACGTTAAGCATTTTTTTCTTTGTTAGGCAAATTTTTATTACTGTAAACACAATTTCTGACAAGCAGCGCCCGTTTAGGTTTAACGCAGAAGTGTTTACAAAAAATAACTATTTTATTTTGTAGATTTTTCTTGCAGTGCAGTGGCGAAAAACCCATAAGGATTTTTTTTGGATAGATGAATCCGCCACATAGGTATAGACATTTTTTATGACAATTTATGTTAATTTTGGCGAGGTCAAGCCCCCTGGATGTCATTTACTTCCCCTACTTTTCTTAATTTTTTAATGCGCTTACTGACAGTTGGCTTTAAGAAGGTTGTCATTTTATTATTCTTATACCGAGTTAAAAGTATTTTTAAACAGTGTAGTTCTAAATTCGAAAAAAATAGTTTTTTGGAAATTTAATCTTTCCTTAATTAAATAATGTTAATTTTTGTGTGATTATTTTCATATATCTATTATTTAAATTAAAGCTTAATGGACAAGTTTTAGAGTTTTATGTAAAGTATAGGACTAAAATGGTTCGAAAAAGAAAAAAAAAATATCTGAAATAGCATTTTATCTTTTGCCTTACGACCTTCAAGGTATTATCAATTTTAATAACGAGGTAATAACAAACATAATAATTGATAATGTTGCTAATGTACTATACAGGGTGTTTTATAGAACTTTTTTTCATTTATTATTAACCACTTTGGCCAGTTAATGATATTAAAAATTGTTAAGGGTTCCTATTAGACTTGGATTTAGGTATAGATTATTGTTTATTATTTATAATTGTGCTAATTAGACCGAAAGGTCAATGGCGTACATGTTTTTTTTTCATGGTGAATCTGTCGACACTTTTTTATCTTTGAAATGTTTAGTACTTATAGTAACTTTTACCCTCAAAATTTCATTCGAATCGATAAAGGTACTTGGAAGAAAATTAGAATAAATCGAAAAAAATGTTCTAACCCCCTGTAACTATGAAACAAAGCAAAATTGGACGTATGTTGATATGAAAAAAAATCTTGTTTTATGTGAAGAATCTCCCCACGAGAGATGGAAACTTGTTTTTTGAAAGACCCTGTATAGTAATAATTAAATACTAAAAACTATGTAAAATGTGTTTTTTAAATAATATATAATAATATATATTTTTTTAATTTCTATGACAATATAGGATTTGTATAGTTGTTACTTAAAAAAATCATGTCAAAGAGAAAATAATTCAAAATTAAGATAGAACTTTAAGTAGATAGTACCACAGATTATACAGATTATAATCTTGTTTTTTCTTTATTGTTTTTCGTGGTTTCAATTTTCGGAATCGGGCACTAGTTAGGTGACTAGTTTGCGCACATAGCACGCCCACTTATGGCCTCTAAAATTGTGCACAGCGCCTGACGGGCACAGTTATTAGAGAGATATCGGAAAACCGAATAGCGTCATCCAGTATTTACGCGTACATATCATGGTTACGATATGCGCGAGTCAACGCAACACCCGCTAATAACGTTAACGCCTGACGTAATTTGCGGATCAATTACACCAAGCGCTCTTTCTAAATAACCTCTGATAACGTTTAAAAATTGCTTAAATGGGCATGTGCGGGTATTTGACAACCGGAGCCAGCCGGCGAGATCTTTTATTTTAGGTTATGTTGAATTGTTTTGAATTATTGCTTTAGTTTTATTAGGTAATTTGATATTTAAGTAGCTGGGATTAGTTTTAATTAAATAAATATGGCCCAAAATATGGATTCCACCACTTCCTATACTAAAGAACCTATAAAGAGTCTTAGGCTTAGGTTTACAGCAGATGACGACTTAGCCTTTCTAAGAGAATTTGTTGCTTGTTGTCCTAAACCCATTGGCAGACGTTGAACAATAAAGCACTGGAAATAAGCACTTTAGCCCATTAGTTTTAAAATACCTAGTAAACAAAACAATTTCAAAGTTTTAAATTCAAAGTTAGGTTAAGTTTAAATAGCGGACGCGACGCGATCAGAATTCTTTCCGATCCGAAAACTATAAATGAAGAGAGTTAATACCACCTCACGTAAAGGAAACAACACCTGGCCTTATCAACGTCCATGCACGCTATTCGGTTTAGCGATATCTCTCTATTACGCTGTTTATTGTTATTTACGCGAGTTTATATTTGCGCACAGGAAATTTGACTCGTTTGCACATCGTCATAAAAAACAATTTTCGTACCACGAATTAGGGACAAGATATTTATCTGTATACTTATAGGATACCTAATTTGTGATAGTACCTACCTAAAACATATACTTATAACAAATAACACAAATACATACGTATATAAAATATTAGTGTATTTTTTTTGTTTCATCAAATGTAACTATGTTAATATAAAATGACAGCGATCTTCATTTCATAGTCATCGCCGACTCCGTTTTTTTCAATCATGTATTTATATTAACTCAGCAATAATATAACATAGTATCCATTATTATTGATTCGTGTTTTTATTTATGTTGTATTTTTGCATTCATATTGTATATTAAATAGGTACTACTAATTATTTATATAGGGTATTCTATTATTATAGTGTCTCTACAGTTTTTACTTTATATATGACAATTTTATCTTTCTAACGCTTTAAATTAAAGAGAATTAAAATTACATGTCAAGACCTTTCATATCGTGGTCCCTGGGTCAATATTCTGACTTTACGCCAGCTTTTTGTTTAAATGCTAAAAATAATGGCAACAATTAAATATCGTTGTGTGGTCTTAATCACTCTAAATATAGAAGTAAAAATTAAACTTGCGGAGAGAAACGATTCAAAGGTTATTTTCTGCAATATAACAAAAAAAAATAAAAACATAATATACTCAACCGAATATACAGGGTTGTTCACCACATACGACACGGAGTATTGTAGCTAAACGATGAGATTTTTACAAATTGTAAGTTTGGGGTTCATTGAAGGACCATTAGAGCTACAATTTAAACATATTTTTACAAGTTACAGAGTGTCCCAAATAAATAAAAAATACCAAAGTTGTATTTTTTTAAATGAAACACCCTATATATTATTACATTTTTAGTTTCTACGATTAAAATAAAGGTAAGTTTGATTAAGGTTTATTACACTTAAACCTTACCGTTTTTGAAATATTTTCAATTTTGTGAAATTGCTGTAAAAAATTTAAGGCTTCATTTCTCCAAGGGTATCAATGTTTTTAATACTAAATATTTACTGAAGTTTATTTATTGATCAGTTATTGTGTTGCAATAATAAAAATTATACTACCTTATACAGAGTGTCTAAAATGTTATTTTAAATAATTACTAGCTTTAAACGGCAATAACTTTTTTTAAAGTTAAAGTTTCATTTCAATGGAACACTCTATATATTTTATGAGAATCAGATGCACAATTTAATTGTCTATCAAATTGTATTATACCATTTTTTACCTATCTCTTCAAGTTTCCGTAGAAAATGCATTTTCTTGTAATTCAAAATTCATTTATCAATATAACCATGGAATACTACATTTTAGATTATTTTTAAAGATGTACCAAATTTTTAAAGAGTACAGATACTAATATTGTTGATATAATTCGTTTATTTCATTAAAAAACAAAAAAAAAACTGTTTAAATATTTGTTAAAGAGGACCAACTAATATGATTCCAGTATTCAAATTACATTAACTGACTGTTTGCGTTGATTAATAATAATTGCCCCAAATACTAAAAAACTGAGTTTTCTATGTGTATTAGACAGTGTGGTAAAAACTAACACTTTAAAAATGATATTTAATTTTTTAATAAATGCTTATTTATAATAACAGAGACGTTCATTTTCATAACTTATTATTACATATATTGATTTCTGATTCAAATCCACATTTATTTAGAATAATTTATTAACGAACACAATTAAGTATGTAATTAATTAGTATTTGGGCGGAAATAATGGTATTATATTTAATTAATGGTATACTCTTTTATAAAGATTTAAATAGTTTTCTTTTTGCAAACAAATGGGCTAGTAATATCATCATTTTACTAAAAACAATCTAAAATGTCAATATTCCATGGGTATATTGATAAATGAGGTCTAAATTATAAGAAAATGCATTTTCTACGAAAACTTGAAGGGATAGCTAAAAAGTGGTATAATACAATTTGATAGACAATTAAATTGTGCATCTGATTCTCCTAAAATATACAGTGCGTTCCATTTAAATTAAAGAAGTTATTAGCGTTTAAAGCTAGAAATTATTTAAAATAATTTTTTAGACACTCTGTATGAGGTAGTATTATTTTTATTATTCCATCACAATAACTGGTCAATAAATAAACTTTAGTAAATATTTAGTATTAAAAACTTTGATACCCTTGGAGAAACGAAGCCTTAAAATTTTTACTACAATTTCACAAAATTGAAAATATTTCAAAAACGGTAAGGTTTAAGTGTGATAAACCTTAATCAAATTTACCTTTATTTTAATCGTAGAAACTAAAAATGTAATAATATACAGGGTGTTCCATTTAAAAAAATACAACTTTGATATTTTTTATTTATTTGGGACTCTCTGTATCTTGTAAAAATATTTTTAAATTGTAGCTCTAGTAGTCCTTCAACGAACCCAAAACTTACAATTTGTAAAAATCTAATCGTTTAGCTATAATACTCCATGTCGTATGTGGTGAACAACCCTGTATGTAGATAGTAGGTAGAACTAACACATTGGTAGGTATGTATAACCACAGACTAACTTAAATATATAAATTGGTCTGTGGTGTTACGAAACGATACAAATAATTAAGTTATAATAACCCGTCTTTTTGGTTACTTTTTGTACTTTTTGGTTAACATACTTAACTTTGCTCTCTGTTGATAATTATTACCCATATTTTTTAAGTAATATAAAAAATTCATGTTAGTCTAAGCTGTCAACTTCACTTACCGCCATTAAACCCAAAATAAATCGGCAAAATATCAAAAATCCATAGTGCCACTCAGCTCCCCATACACACAAAGAGTTGAAAATGGCAGTGACTATTTGTGTGTAGAATATTGTGTTAAAAGGTCCCAACCATTCAGCTATAAAACCTCCAGGAGCGCTCGATATCACATAACCCCAAAAATATGATCCTAAGATAAAGCCTTGTATATCTTCGTTCCAATCATACCTTGGCCCATACTGAAAAATAAAGTTAAAGTCAAAAAACTAATAATAAAAAAGTTTATTAGTTGAGGTTATATATTTGTTTTTATACAACATTTTTTTATAACGACAGGATATTGGACAACGACAAAGTTGCGTCTGTCATTTTAATGTACATCTAATGTATATTTTCTGTCATTTTTTAGATGACGTCTGTCGAAATATTCCCTCACTCGTTAGACGATACTATACTAATTATTTTTTTTGTATTTCACATAGTTTGGGTATCCGAAATATTACAGTTTATAGTTTTTTATATTTGACCAATAGAAAAAACAGGAACAAATACGATAACAAGACTATTAAAAAAATTAATGATTTTTGACTAGTAAGCAGTGAAATAATTCATTTTTTTATACTTTGATGATCCTTGATGTATTGTCATTCATTTTTCTTTTTTTTTATTACATCACATCCAATGAATGGAACAGAGATAATATTATGTTCCATTAATAAAATTTCTATGGATAAGATAATGAAATTGGGATAAATATTATCTATTTCTCTTTGTTTAGCAATTCAGTTGTTAAGGCTTTCTGGAATTCATACTAATATCTGATAAAAACAAAATACCATGAAAAATAAGCATGTAAAAAAATAGAATAGATAGATAACAGTTTTAGTGCAATGCCAATTTTTCAGATTAATAAGAAAAAGCCATTAACTGTAATAAAAATTTTAGTTAGATTGAAAAGAAATTTTTATTTTTCATAAATAATAAATTGAACACTTATTCTCTACAATTTATCTTTGATCAATTGACACTACTGGGTGTCTTTTAAATAAGTAAAATTATTTTAACTGATAGTATATTTATTTCCAGTCCCAGAAACAAGCCCATGAAGAAAAATTGTTAAAAATTTTCGAATTTCTTAAGTATTTTCGGGAAATTTTTAAAAAAGAGATTTTTAGGGCTGCAGGTTCATTCTCCTGAAATATGTTTACAGTGTTGTAATCTTGCAATTTTGCCAGCTCCTACATTTATAAACGTTATTTAAAGTTGCTTGGTTATACATTCACAGTATTTTAATTTTCTACACTATAAATTTCGAAAATTATTAATTCTATCTACAAAAAAATTATAATTTCAAAAAATCACGCATTATACGTGCTTTTTAACACACAGTAATACAGTTTACAGTTGTTTTTAAGTAAACTGAAAGTATGAATATTAATAAAATTGGTGCAGATTCTCTTAATATTATATTATGAAGTATTTTCAACCATGTTATATTGTCCATATGGCAACACTGGACGTGGAATAAGCCGAGAACCCACTGATTTCCAGATAATGCCGGTGGTTCTCAAAATGTAAGCATTATTTTATGAAAAAAATTGCATAGTTAAATAACCCGGCTACTTTAAATTTATTTCAATAATGATTAATACAAAATACAAGTATTTCTTTTGTCCAGATCTACCATCCCTTAAGATATTTGCACTTTTTTAAGAACCCCCCTGTATATACCTAGATAATATTTTTTGATACTTACGTTTGGTAAAGATTTTACTGTATGGTTCCCACCCTCGATATGTGATTCATTTCTTTTACATTCAGGTACTGCCTTCTCTTTTGACCTGGCTACCATAGAGGTAATACTTATTGACATGTTGCTCCTTGTTGTGTAGTTGATGTAGGTTGTGGCAAACACCATGACGGCAATCCAAAATCTTGTTGGTATTTTTGCTAGAAATAATTGATGTTATTTGTAAAAAAAATTTTGTAGGTATATAAGAAAATTTTACATGAGTCTGAATAAGCTTCTGAAGAAAAATATTTGGACTAAACTTATAAAAATATATGAGATTTATTTTAGTAAAAAAAACATAGATAAAACTAAAAACTTAACACCCTGTTATTATTTCTTTGTTAGATGGAGAAAAAACGAAGAAAAATTATTTTATATTTTAGAAAGTTGGGCATAGAATTTTGAACACCCTGTATGGTTTAAGATTACTATAATTATAGCAAAGTAGGTACAGACCAACTATGGTAAATGTTTAGTTTAGTTTTGGTTTCAGGACATTTGTTTTATTTTTAATATTTTTTTTTTAAGTATTAAAAATATATATTTTTTTATTTATTTATTAATATTTCTGAAATTACCAAAACATCTATAGTAATATCTTAGGACTACGTAAAGTGATCAGAAAGGAAGCCAAAATGCAATAATATACAGGTTGTTCTATTAAAAAAAAAATTGGCGCCGGGAGGCACGTATAGCCGCCCATACTAAAATATGTCAATAAAAAGTTGGTAAGCAGTTCTTTTAGTCTCAAAGTAAAGGAACTTTTCCAATTTTTTTTTATCTCAAAAACTGCGACTTTAACTGATTTTGATGTTATTATAAATTTTGTTGCAAGTATTATTCCTAATCTTAAATTGAAAACCGCGTTTCGCTAGCTACTGTAATTTTGGAGTTACGATTTTTTAAAATTTTTAACCCCCTCCCATACCCCCTTACCAACCTCCCACCCCCTCCAGAAACTAATGGCCAGATTCTCGGGTGCCGCAGTATTTTTGTGCCAAATTTGGTTAAAATCGGTTTAGCGGTTTTTGAGTTATCGTGTTACAGACAGACGGATAGACGGACAGACAGACAAACATACACCACGAAAATATTTTGTATTTAGAACATTTATGACCCAAATAACTCATTTTGACTTGTTGGTATGGTCGGCTAAAAATCATCCCGGTCCACTCATACTTTTTGAGCCACCGTGTAGAAGTTAAAATATTTTCCTGAAATAAGTACATCCTAATACATACTTCAGGTTTGCACTTATCCAAAAATTATTTATAAATATAAGTAAAAATTAAGTTACCCCAACACATCCCAAAAATAGGTGTATTACAATATTACAGTAAGTAATAAAGAAATGAATCCTTTTGTGTTTTAATGTCGTTGTTTTAAAAAAGCTTGTATTCATTAATCCTGCTGCATGAACCATGTAATTTTAAAATATACTCATAGAAAATAAAATCCATTATCTCTTGTTCATTTGAGGAAGTAATTCAACTAACAACATTCTTGAAACATTTGGATATTACCAATATAATTCAAGATGTCAAAGTTCTTCAAGAAATATTTTGCATTTCCTCTGCAAAAAATGATTGAAATCATCGTTATAAACACGATACTGAACTTTGATATTGAATATTTTTATAACCGTTGCCAATTTAACACTTAATGTTAGTTTAGTAAATAATTTAGAATATTTTTAGACGGTGAAATAAGATTATTCATAATACAGTTGCAGCTTACAAAATAACCAGATATTTTCTATATTTCTAATCTACTGAAAAAGTGTTACCCAGATAGAAAAAATGAAGACTTTCAAAAAGGTTAAGTAAAGTAAACAGGATATTGATATATCAAAATAAGGAAAAATAATATGAATTAGGCGGTCTTTATCTTAAATAAAGAATATTAAAAGTAACTGCTTTTATAGTGATGGGCGTATGTATCCGTTGGGTAAATACCTAAAGGGTATATAAATAAAATCTAGGTATATACCTGTACATTTAGATGAACATTCCAATTTTATTAAAGACATATACAGGGTGTTTCAAAACAAATGCGAAAAACTTCAGGGGGTGATTCCTTGTTCAAAATAAAGGGTAGTTTGCTTCATAAACGTTGGGTCAAAAGTCAACCATTAGGGAGATATCGCGGTACAAAGATGGCGGAAAAATAATGTTCTTATTTTTTATCTTGAAAACGAAAAGAGATAGACTAATGAAATTTTATGGAAGCATTACTGTTATGAAACACACTTTCTGGTAATTTTTTCACTTTTTAAAATGAGTGGAAGGGGTTGAAATAAACTACCCTATCATTCTTGTTAACGAAATTTAAAGAAAGATCTTATCAAACACATGCAAAAAATTAATTTGGATAGTTCAGTTTGTTTAGAAACTTTTTATCTCTTGTATTTTTTGATAAAACTCACCGATTTGAAATTAAAAATAAAATGTAAAGCATTACATGTCAGGACAAAAAACATTTTCTGATAAAGAATCTAGTGGGCTGCTGTAATTTTTTAGGAAAAAATCTAGTCGGCCGCTGTTACTTTAGGATGTTCCTAATATTATTTTATTTGACATTACTCTACTGCAATACGTTATTATCTAGATGATTATTATTATCGTTATTATCACTAGATTCTTAATCTAAAAATGTTTTTGTCCTGACATGTAATGCTTTACATTTTAGTTTTTAATTTCCAATCGGTGAGTTTTATCAAAAAAACACCAGAGGTAAAAAGTTTCTAAACAAACTAAACTATCAAATTAAAGCATTTGCATGTTGTTTGATAAGATTTTTCTTTAAATTTCGTTAACAAGAATGATAAGGGTAGTTTATTTCAACCCTTCCACTCATTTTAAAAAGTGAAAAATTACCAGAAAGTGTGTTTTCGTAACAGTAATGCTCCCATAAAATTTCATTAGACTATCTCTTTTCGTTTTCAAGATAAAAAATAAAAACATTATTTTTCCGCCATCTTTGTACCGCGATATCTCCCTAATGGTTGACTTTTGACCCAACGTTTATGAAGCAAACTACCCTTTATTTTGAACAAGGAATCGCCCCTGAAGTTTTTCGCATTTGTTTTGAAACACCCTGTATATCTTCAATTTTTCTAAAAAAATATATCTACAATATTTCTGATATATACTGGTATTATACCGGGTATTTACAATTCGGTCGTTGGGGAGTCCTTTTCATCTAAATATACAGGATAATCCAGATTTAATTTATATACCCATATTTTCTTTATGAGAGAATAGGTCACATATAGGGAAATTAAAACAACTTTGAGTGCACGTCATCAGTGACACCATGCGTAGTCTTATGGAGTTTGTTGGTTATTTTAATAATTATTATATTATAATTTTATATATTATAATTTAAGTTATTTTAATTTCCCTATAGGTACAACAGTTTTGTCGAGTTTTGTTCAATTTTCGAAAAATATTTTTATAAACCAACTTCACAATGATAGGTATTTGGTTACTGAATAAAAATATCTTTAAATCATTTTCTACTGTGAATTAGACTATGTATATGTTTACAGTGATACCTACATGCATACTCTAACTATAAAAATCCTTGAATAGTTGCCAAAAAGTTTAATAAACTTCTATTTTTCTTTCATTAACAAAAATAAAACTATAAAAATGAAATTTATGATAGGATAATCTTGTTTTATATGAACATATCATTACACGGTCTCTTAGTTACAAAATATACCAGTATTTAACTTTACATAGTATGTAATTAGTATTATTACACTAAGATCTGTTTACTTTTAGAATATTCAAGTTAAGCATAAGCCAAGGTAACACAAGGTTTAAGATAAGCCTGATTATTTTTATAATCGTAGATATAGAGATATAGATAAAGTGACATAAACAAAATGTGTTAAAACAGCTCTTAATTTTATAGGAAAACCTAATTTTGTTTATGTTTCGTGCCTAAAATTAATTAATAACTTTGTTAGGCAATAATTTCTATATTGAGGTAACTAATATATGCCATTTGGAATCAATAAGACTTTTACAATCTCCTATAGTATTGACTACGTGTGTTATAATAGAATGGCATAGGTATATTCGAAAAAACTATGTAAACTAGAGTAGGGGATCTTAATATACCTACTGAGGGTTTTAGGAATTTTTAGAAATGTAAAAAAAAACAGTCACAAAGATATACTCCGACGTTTATAATTAATAATTGATATATCTACTAAAAGGATCATTTTACGAAAAAAAAAATTGGCGCAGGGAGGCACGTATAGCCGCCCATGCTCATACTATATATAAAAATATGTTAATAAAAAGTTGGTAGGCAGTTCTTTTAGTTTCAAAGTAAAGGAATTTTTCCAATTTTTTTATCTCAAAAAATGCGACTTTGACTAATTTTGATGTTATTACAAATTTTGTTGCAAATATTATTCCTAATCTTAAATTGAAAACCGCGTTTCGCTAGCTACTGTAATTTTGGAGTTACGATTTTTTAAAATTTTTAACCCCCTCCCATACCCCCTTACCAAACCCCTACCCCCACCAAAAACTAATGGCCAGATTCTCATGGTGCCACAGTATTTTTGTGCCAAATTTGGTCAAAACCAGTTTAGCGGTTTTTGAGTTATCGTGTTACAGACGGACAGACAGACAGACACCATGAAAATATTTTGTATTTAACTCATTTATGACCCGAATAACTAATTTTGAGTGAAATTAAAAAAACTTTTTTTTGCCGATCTTAAAAGCCTACCATACCTGGGTATGGTCGGCTAAAAATTCGTGGGTAGAGTTCGAAAATATTTATAGTAAAATTTATGTAGGGGTTGGGGTACTTTTCACCCTTTCCGTACTTCTTTCTTGATTTTTGTGGAAGTCAAACGATAAAGCACTTAGCAAAACATAGATACTCATCAAACACTCATTCAAATCGGAATAACGGTTCCTAAAATATCTAAAAAAATTAGCGATGGGAACTATCGAATGAATTAGACTATCGAATGGTTACTGAATGAATGATTTCAACTATCGAATGGTTTTATTCGAATAAAATCATTCATTCATTTGTATACTAAAGCATATGTGACAACCTCGCCGTGCGACTAAATAGTTATCGTTGAGCTACGACTATCGAATGCTTTTGATAAATGAAATTTAGTATTTGTTTGATTTTCGTGTGCGTCAGTGCATTATTAGTTCTTCCAAATTGTTATAACTTCGCCTTATAAATACTGTGCTATTTTTGCGTTTATTAAAATATTTAAAATACTAAAATAGTAGTTTTTTTTAATAATTGACGATTGTGTGATTTTCCGTAGCCCGATCTTTCAATTATTTTATTTTATATGGTATATGGTCTATTTTTTAATGGGAAATTTTGAGAAGTAGCAATTTTTAAGAGAGATGAGATAAATTTAGAATTAATTTTAAAAATACATATTTGTATTTTAGATGTTTCAATAATATGAATTAGTTGAACTTAATAAAAACTTAATAATCATATTTAAGTAATGTGGTTAAGTAAATGGTTATCGAACTCAAACTATAGGGTGAGAAAATTAAATTGAAAGTTTTACACGTGCCGATTAAAAAAAAAAGTTAACGATGTTTGTATTTTGTTTATGCTAATTCTCTTACATGTAGTTTTTTGCAAAGAAATATTTCATTTATTTTTTAAAGTAAATGCCAGTAAAAGTAAATATTATTTTTAAATAGTAATATAAAGTACCTAATATAAATAATTTTGATTTCTAATTTTTTATTTATATTTTCCTTCCATTACATTGCATGCTTAGAAAATTAATAAATGTTTATATTTCATGATTTTAAAGTTTGTTGTTAATATAACAAATTAGTTCTGTAATTATTATTAGTTAATAAACCAACGTTGCCAAAAAATTTAAAGACTATATTATTTTTAAATAGGATCTAATATAAATAATTTTGACATCTAATTTGTTGTTTATATTTTGCTACTACGTAAAAAAATGTTTATATTAAATAATTTTAAATTTTGTTGTTAATAGGTATAACAAATTATTACTGGTGTTATTATTTTCATTAAACCAGTCTTTGCTTAAAAACATTAAAAATCATTTTCCTACATCCAAAATAACAAGTATTATTGCAGTGTAACAACAGAATAATAATAAAAAAATGCAAAATATATAGACATACTATCCCTAACTAACTAAAGCCCTTCTAAAGCCAAACAATAATATTCTTTGCTAATTTCAACTAATACCAATATATGGCAACAGCGCCCTTCATAATGTATTTTCTGTGTAAATACTAGCACCTCAATAAAAAAAATAATGTGTCCTTATCTTTATATGACTCCGCAAAAAATCAAAGATGCCGGCTTCTTTCAGAGCATTGCCACCGACCGCTGTCGGGTTTCCCGGAAAGAAATCTACGTCGCCGGTCGACAACTAAAATCCAGTTAATATTTTATTATAATCGATCCTAACAAATAAATGAATTTCATAAATGAATGAATTTTATAAATGAATGGTTTTTGCTGCCGAATTACTAGAATACATTATTTCAAGGCAGATGACGCATCTATTCGATAATTTTTATTCGAATAGTTTTCAAGGAATGTTTTCTTACTAGCTATCGAATTATTCGAATGAATTGCAACTATCGAATGTTTCGATAGTATTCATTCGATAGTTCCCACTACTAGAAAAAATGTGTTTATTTTTTTAAAGTTTGACGCCCTCTAGCGGACAAACGAAGCACTTTTGTATAAAGATAAAAGCTTTTTTCGTTTTCCTGTTATTACCGATTCTGAACCGTCCTAGAACTGTGATGCGTATGCGTAGAAGAAAATACGAAGACATTATTTCATTTGCGCATGATGAAAGGACGGTTCAGAATTTCTAGGACGGTTCAGAATCGGTAATAACAGGAAAACGAAAAAAGCTAAATTGTGTCCAGTGAACTTATTTTGATTCCAAGAATACGTAGTTGTTTTATGTCCACGGAATACTGGGACACCCTGTATACCTACTTGCATTTCCGTAATGTCTAACTAGATATGTTTTTATTTAATTTTTTATGGGCAAATAACCAATTTAAATTTGTTATTGTCTAAAGCGCAAATAACCATAGCATAGAAGATTTTACTTTTCATTCATTCATTGTCAGATACCGATTTTTTACTTTATGGATCTGTTAATAACTATAATGATGTAAAGAAGGGATGATCTATAATGTCTTATCAATAATATATTATTTATATTTACACATAAATAGGAAAAAACTAGATGACCTATCAACGACCTTGGTACTATATTTCAAGTAATTAATGTCGTATATTATGGCATCCTAGATTGAATGATGGCATTTTATTGTATTATTTTGTTTACCAAACTCATTTTTAATGCAAGTATTTAAATATTATATCTTATTGCGATTGAAAAAACTATCAATAATGTTGTTTAATTCACCATTATACCTACATAGGTATTAAAATATCTTCATTAATACGATTTATACAACATTATAAAGATAGTTTTTTATGTATTTAATTCTCTTTTGATTTCTCTGAGAAACCATGATTCTAGTAAATAATTTTAACATATTAATTATATTATTTCTTTAAGTTCTTCAAACAAATATTAATTAAAAGTAGTAATGCGAGTGTATACCTAGGTATGCTCCAAAAGCTTGGTATAAAAAATGAATTAACCTACTATTGTTAATAATCAAGTAAATATATATTTGATGTTATTATAACAATGTCCATCTAATAATCATTAATATTTCACAATAATAATTATCATTATGACTTATTATGTGATTTTTTGTTTATTAAATTTTTTAATCTACAAATACAAGTGACGGTTTTCGCTCCTTGGGACAAACAAGATAATAAATTCGCTAAATAAATAATAAAATAAAATATTAAAAGAACTGAAAGATTGTGAAACATTATTAATGTCACCTTCAAAACAAAACAAACTTCCAAATTAAATATTTCTTACCCATTTTCAGTGGTTCTTCTTTCTATTCAAAAATATCTCACATAAAATCTAAATTTTTTGCTATATCCTTGCTGATGGTCTTCTCAAATTTCGCGTTTCACATTTCAGCACACTGCCACACCAAATTATTTAAACAAACAATAAATAATCACATGCTATTTCCGATTTTTGTAAACAGCCACACCGAATTTTACACATTTCTGATAATAACTGACAAAATAAATCGCATCAATTGTTTTACGCGTTGAGAAATTAACAGACTAAAAACAAACGGTGTTTTTATTTAAAAATAAATTATTAAGTAGGTTTGTTTTAAAGGATTTGATAATAATTTAAAGGAGGAAGTACTGGAAGCATGTGATACTCCCCTCATTGATTTCGTACCGACCGATACAAAACAGACTGTGTTTGTTTGGCGAGCGTACAGTGAAGTAAGTCTGTGTTTCTGTTGCTTCTGTCTGATCTGCCGGCAACTGCGCTCTGGAACTTTATAGAGCTTAGCAATGTGCAAGATAAGGAAGTACGGAAATGAAGTAAGAGAGACGGGAATAGTGGAGTTCATGCCTGGTTAAATTTGGACTTAGGGGAGTCGAAAAAGTAGGTATAGGTCCACTTGGGACAGCGACTTCATATTTTTTGAAATGACACGTGGTGTAACGGTGTGGTAACGGTTTTGTTCGCGCAGTTAATAGTGGGATAAACAAACAATATTTTTAGAGCCAATTATTGTTGATAAGAAACATGAATGGAAGAAATTACCAAGCTCTGAAGGAGAAAATACTGATTTTTTTGGCTCATGTTTTGTTTACTTGAAATCAGTCTATTCAGTATTTGGAAGGGGCCTTTTCGAACAGTAGATATGCCACAAAATTTTTTTTGCAGAAATGCATAGTTTTTAGTTTTTCGACTTTAGAATAGCTGAAACCAAAGGTACATACATAATTATAATTGTAGAAGATGTTCATAAAACATTTAATCACTAGTTGATTAAAAAAGTATAACATTAATATTGCCCCCAAATTATATTTTATTCTCTCATAGTATATGTCTGTATATGTCTATTTAATTTTTTGATTACGTAACGAGCACTTACTCACTTGTTCCGTCGAACTGCTTGAATCCATTTTTGCTTTTGATCAAATCGGTGTAAGAAGTTATGAAGCTATAAAATGGTTGTTTTGGGAGAGTTGAATATCCGGGAAAGTCGGAGTTATTGAATGTTATTGCACCTAACAACGCCCTAATTACGCTCTCCTTTAAGCGGCTCATACATTATCAAACAAATTGCGCAACACAGACTGTTGCGCAACGAGTTGGTTTGATGCGTTGCGCAATGGTTTGATGCGTTGCGCAATTGTTTGATAAGTTCAAGAATGTTTGAATTCTTTTGTGCAACAGGCGTTTGCGTAGTGTAGTGTATGTGTGTGTTGCGTTTCGTTGTGCAATATTTTAGTTCTTTCATCCAAATTCTTTGTTTTCTTTTTTGTTTTTTGGTAGCATTGGCATCATCTAGGGTATATAGGATAATAATTGACGCAATGGCAATTGAGGACATGATTGTTTCTCAAACAATACACAACTTTTTATAAAAAGTTTGATCAAAATTCTACTAAGTGCATGGGTGAGGCAGTTGTGCAACGGAACGTTGCGCATCACTTTGTTGCGCAACTTGTTTGATAGTGTATGGACCGCTGAATCAGTTGTGCAACGCAACGTTGCGCATCGCTTTGTTGCGCAATTTGTTTGATAGTGTATGGGCCGCTTTACGCGTTAACATTTTTCTAAGCCAATAGATAGAAAAGAAAATAAAATTAAAATGAATTTCTCTATCAATAAATTTCATAGACTTAGTTATCAAACCGTGTTTCCGTAGATTACTTAAATACCTACAAATTTTCTAAAAAAATAAAAATTAACACATTTTTTGAACACAACAAAATTTAAACTAAACAAAACTACAAATCGTCATTTTTGCTGCATCACAAGCAAATAAAAATTAATATACGTAGCCAGGAATCATGATTTCTCTGGGGAGTGCCCAGTAGTGCCTGGGGGGGGGGGACGGCACACCGGAGCACCCCTGTAGTTACGCCAATGGAACACTTCGAGTTTCTGATATTAAAAGAACAAACTTGTTGCTTCATAAAATAGTTTCTATTATGTATTATTATTGTTTTTATCGTTTTTTTTTTGAGTTGTCATACGTGTAAGCGGACACATTGAAGTAATTATCTTCAATTATTCATGGTATTCATTTCATTTATAGCATTTATGATACAGTAGCGTAGGTGGTTACTTAATGCTTTATTATTTTTTACGACGATACCTTCTGAATGATTACTTCTGATTTTTTTTCATAATTTTTAAATTTAATTTCTGTAATTTCATCAAAAATATGGTTGGTTGCACCTACACACAGTTTCTGTTAGCAGAGATTTAATGTTAAATTTTAAACTATATATGCTGAAACTAAAAATCTAAAAACTTCTAATATAAATTTTTAATTATTTTTTTCTGATACGACCTTGTTTTTAATTGTCTAGGCATAATTAAACATTAAACAATAATATTTCGTATTTATTTATAGATATCTATTGGCAAGTAAAAAATAATGAATTATACAGGTATGGACAAAAAGTTATTACTGTTCAAAACAGTTAAAAAGTATATAGGTGGCGCCGCATCCGCATACAAGTAGGAATCATATTGAAATCAAAATCTAATTTCTCATGTAAAAAAAAACTCGGACACCAATTTTCATTCAAATATCAACATTACTTTAGAAATTATTTTGAAAAAATCGCAATAAAAATTAAAGTTCTACATCCTGTATTTCCGAAACGAAGCATTTTAGGACATACCTACATTTATACGGACTTTTTTACTTATTTTTATCTGCAGAATATTCTGCTGAAGTTTTCCAAATACTATTCAGACCACCCTGTATAAAACCGATTTGAATTATAACATCTACAGGTATTTCAAATTTTATTTTTTTAGTGCGAATTGTTTTTATATACACATACAAACTGTAAAACTGTATTGGTTCACTTTATAATATATAATAACACTGGCTGATCCGGCAAACGATGTTTTGCCATATAAATTATTCCTAGGATTATTTCTAGGATTATTCCTAGGATTTATTCCTAGGATTATTCCTAGGTTTATTCCTAGGATTATTTCTAGGATTATTCCTAGGATTATTTTAGTAGAAAAAAAATCATCAAGTGATAATTGATCAATTATCGACCGGGGTTGAAAATTATTGAATTACTAGGTAATATCGCTATTAAAAAATAGGGGTTGATGGTAGAAGGGTGAACATTTAGGGTGTGTAGGTATGTATTTTTTAATGCCACATCTTAAAAAAAATCCTTTATCATTTAGGGGTATAAAAATAGATAACAACCTTATTCTCAGACCTACTGAATACACAAATAAAATTTTATCAAAATCGGTTAAGCCGTTTCGGAGGAGTATGGTAAGTAAAAAAACTGTGACACGAGAATTTTATACAGGGTACGTCTTAAATAAGTGCAAAATATTTTCACGGCTGGTAGATCTCGATAAAAGGAACATATTTTCTCTTTACCATTTTTCAAATAAGTCCGAGTTATTTTACAAAACAAATATTTTTTTGCTTCAGTTTTGAGAACCCCTGGATCTTTTCGGGGTTTTCTTCTTTTATATTTAATCTCCTATCTATTTTGCCATATTATCAAGAAATTATGTTTTTTAACTGAAAACTAAAAAAAAATCCAAACATTATTTTCAAAAAATTCTGAATTTCCAAAAAAAATCCCGCGAAAAAAACCCTCATAATCGTGTTTCTGGGGTTGAGATATACTACCCTTAAAATATTTGCACTTGTTTAAGACTCGTTCTGTATATTAGATTGAAATAATATCCCAAGTTTTATATGAAACCATCTAATTCTTAAAAAGCATACATCTAAATGTTTTACATTTATTGATTTGTATATAAATATCCTTCTGGAAAATTTTATCGTTAATATTTTTGATAAAACACGCGCGCATAAATCTTGGTTTATCAAAATTATTGTTTGAATCTTTCTAAACAAGGCTACGTGTTTTTCAAAGTTATTTATTTATATGAAAATATGAATATCGGACTTTGATAACAAGACTCGGTTACTCAATGATTTCCTGTTTACCTAAAATGACCAAGCAGGTACTGAGGGGTAAACACCTGTGGATTTGTACACCTACATGGATTTCCGTGGATTTCCATGGATGTCTGTGGATTTCTGTGGATTTCCATGGATGTCTTGTGTATTTCCGTAGATTTCTGTGGTTTTCAATGGAGTTCCGTGGTTTTCTGTGGATGTCTATTAGATATCTGTAGATTTCTCTAGATGTCGTTAGTAGATTTCCTGACCAAAATGTGTACATCAGAAATCCACTTTTGATAAATAAATCCAAGGAAATCCACAGAAATCAAAAATTTAAGAAATCTACAGAAATCCACAGAAATACAGAGAAATCCAAAAGAAATCTAAAGAAATCTAAAAGAAATCCACAGAAATCAAGGAAATCCACAGAAATACAGAGAAATCCAAAGAAATCTAAAGAAATCCAAAGAAATCCACCGAAATCCAAAAAATATTAGATTGCATTTTAAATAGTAATATAATAATATAAAGTCGATATAGTATATTTCAGGAGATTTCTATATGCCATATGACCAAAGTAATAAAAAAAAATGAGAGTGAGTTTTATATGTGAATAAACGTCTATTTCACTTACTATTAATATTATAATTAGTATTAGTTTAAACATCAAAATGAAATAAAAAGTAATAGACTTAGGACCATTTAAGGGCTGCAGTTTGACAGAATTTGTTATATAGTAAGTCCTTATTATAATAAAGTTTAAACTAATACTAATCACCGCATAATATTAATAGTAAGTGAAATAGACGTTTATTCACATAAAAAACTCACTGTCAATTTTTTTATTATTTTGGTCATATGTCATATAGAAATCTCCTGAAATATACTATATTGGCTTTATAAAGGGTGTCCCAGAAATAAGTGCAAATATTTTAACTGGTAGTATAGTTCAACCCCAGAAACACGCCTATGAGTTTTTTTTTGCGAACAAAATGTTTTGAAAATTCGGAATTTTTTGAATTTTTTTTTGGAAATTTATTTAGTTTTTAGTTAAAAAACATATTTTCTTGATAATATGGCAACATAGGTAGTGGATTAAATTTGCAAGAAAGAAAATCCAGAAAAGATCCAGTGGTTCTCAAAATTTTTACAAAAAAATTATTATTTTGGAAATTTTCAAAGTAAAATAACTCCGTTATTTTGGACTTATGTGACAAACGATAGAGAGAAAATATGTTTCTTTTATCGAGATCTACCACCCCTTAAAATATTTGCACTTATTTCTGGGACACCCTGTATATACTATTTAAAATGCGATCTAATATTTTTTGGATTTTCTTGGATTTCTGTGGATTTCTTTAGATTTCTTTGGATTTCTGTGTATTTCTGTGGATTTCCTTGGATTTCTGTGGGGCTCTCTTTAGATTTCTTTGGATTTCTGTGTATTTCTGTGGATTTATTTATCAAAAGTGGATTTCTGGTGTACAGGGTGTGTCAAATTCGACGCTTTTAAATGGAAACACCCTTTTCTATAGGAGATAGACAAAAACTAATATCGCTGTCTGGAGCTCAATTTTCATCAAAAATATGATGGTGAAAACCGCATATCAATATCTGTTACCGTTTCGGAGTTACGGGGTGTTTTTCAAAAATGTGCATTTTTAACAAATCGCTGTAACTTTTTTGTTATGGAAAATGTTGTATTTCTATGAAAACATTTCCAAAGCACATTAATAATTTAAGAGTTATCAACAGAAAAATTGATTTTTTATTTGGGACACCCTCTATATTTTTAATTAACTGAAAAGAATTTAAAATTACCTTTCCAAAAATATAGCACACTTGATATTTTGTTATAATCCCCTTCGAAATACAGAGTTTTTAAAAGTTCGCCACTTTTAATTACTAGGCTTTGGACCCCTTATTGATGATATGCCCTTAATGGAACTCGAAAACATATTTTTTTGCAGCCAATTTCAAGAATAATTGGATAGCTAACCAAGATCCCAGCCGTTGGCCGTCGAGGCCGCCTGACTTAGTGCCCACGGATCTAATCCTATGGATATATTTGCGGAAGAATAAAGGTTCCTTATTCTTCCGTATAATCTAGACAAGAATTAGAAATACTTAGCAGTTATGAGAGGGTATCTTTCACCCCCACTGAGTTAATGAATTCCGCGAGAAATGTTCAAAAACTGCCCCGTCTGTCCATAACAGAAGACGGTTGATATGTCGAACAGCTGTAGCAAAATCTCATGTCTTGGTTTGCTATTTATTTTTATTGTTATTAGATACAGTTTAAATGTGTTGATGTTGGTTAAATATATTTTAAATTGTTATAAAATTCTGCATCTCTCATGGCAAATATTATTTTCGTTTTAATTGATGCTCACAGCTAGAATTTTTTTGCATTACGGCCGGTGCCGTTCAAAGCCTACTTATTTAAAGCGGGCGAATTTTTATATACTCGAAGAAGAATTGAGCAAAATATCAAGTGTGTTATATTTTTGGAAAGGTAATTTTAAATTCTTTTCAATAAATTAAAAATATACAGGGTGTCCCATATAAAGGCCGCCTGTCTTAGAGCCCATGGATCTAATCCTATGGATATATTTGCGAATAAAGGTTCCTTATTCTTCCGTATAATCTAGACAAGAATTAAAAATACTTAGCAGTTATGAAAGGGTATCTTTCATCTTTCATCCCCACTGAGTTAATGAATTCCGCGAGGAATGTTCAAAAACTGCCCCGTCTGTCCATAACAGACATAAGGTTAATATGTCGAACACCTGTAGAAAAATCCCATGTCTTGGTTTGCTATTTATTTTTATTGTTATTAGATATAGTTTAAATGTGTTGATGTTGGTTAAATATATTTTAAATTATTATAAAATTCTGCATCTCTCATAGCAAATATTATTTTCGTTTTAATTGATGCTCACAGCTAGAATTTTTTTGCATTACAGCCGGTGCGAATTTTTATATACTCTATATCTCGAAGAGGAATCGAGCAAAATATCAAGTGTGTTATATTTTTGGAAAGGTAATTTTAAATCCTTTTCAATAAATTAAAAATATACAGGGTGTCCCATATAAAAAATCATATTTTCTGTTGATAATTCTTAAATTATTAATTTTAAAAAAATTATACTTAAACCATTAAATTCTACGTAAAAAGGTGCTTTGGAAATGTTTTCATAAAAATACAAAATTTTCCATAGCAAAAAAGTTACAGTGATTTGTTAAAAATGCATATTTTTGAAAAACACCCCGTAACTCCGAAACGGTAACAGATATTGATATGCGGTTTTCACCATCATGTTTTTGACAAAAATTGAGCTCCAGACACCGATATTAGTTTTTGTCTATCTCCTATAGAAAAGGGTGTTTCCATTTAAAAGCGTCGAATTTGACCCACCCTGTACACATTTTGGTCAGGTGTTTACCCCTCGGCAGGTACCAACTGAACAAAAAATAAAACAAAAAAAAATAAATTCGCTGTTAAAAAGTCTTTATTACAAAAATCATTGTTTTAGTATATTTTTCTGTACACATAAAAAAAGAGAAAATTGAGCACTACATTACGTTTGTTAAAATCAGATCTCCTATTAACATTAAACTTTCTTATCTCAAACATATAGCTACAAAAAGTTAGCCTAAAGTTCGACTTAAATTAATGCTACTTATCCTAGATTAAAACATAATCAGTTTTATTGTCTATTATAGAAAGCGTTTATTCAGTATATAGACAACACTTAAAGAGGGTTTTATTAGTATATTAATAACTGGCAAGTACTTAACAGAAGAAAGAAAATAAATAAACGTTTGTATAGATGAGAGGTAACATTTTCAATGTTATATTTATTTTTTCATAATTTTATTAACACAAAATAACATAAAATGTGTTTAGCATTTATTTAATACATATGTTGAACATACTGGACTAGATAAATCTTGAAAATGTTACTGTTTATTCCTCGAACTCAATGGCACATTTAAAACAGTATTTACTTCGCAAAATACACTATCTACTGACTGTTTTAACTGTTTATATACAACGAAATAAGTCTATTTGTGATAATCTCTTCTGACTTCGATCACTACAGGCTTTGAACTAGAATCGTATCTTCTTTCACTCTCATAGTACTTCATGCTGGGAGGTGGCTCAGCCCTGTTACTCCTGTAATGACTCTTGGTGATGCTTTTGGTCTCGCTGGACTCGATGGTCTCCATTGCTCTGCCATCTCTACCGGGAATAGTCTTTTTGCTGATGGTTTTGACTGTGTTCGTCACACTGGGTCTTACAGGGTCATTGTTCCTTGTAGTGGTGTGGTAAGTTTCGGAGAAGTCAGTGCTAGAGGTGCTTCCACGTCGAAGAACAGAGTGAGTTGGGGAAGAAGTGGATATGATATGGGTATCCTTTAATCTGTTAAAGAAAAAAGAATTTGTTTTAAAAATGGAAACTATGTACAGGGTGGGTTAAATTGGATGATTTTAAATGGAAACACTCTTTTCTATAGTCTGGAGCTCAATTTTGACCAAAAACCTGATGGTGAAAACCGTACATCGATATCTGTTACCGTTTCGGAGTTACGGGATGTTTTTAAAAAACGTGCATTTTTAACAAATCACTGTTACTTTTTTGCTATGGAAAATTTTGTATTTTTATGAAAAAGCACCTTTTTACGCAGAATTTAATGGTTTAAGTATATTTTTTTTAAATTAATAATTTAAGAATTATAAACAGAAAATTTGATTTTTTTATATGGGACCCCTGTATATTTTTAATTCAATGAAAATAATTTAAAATTATCTTTCCAAAAATATAACAGACTTGATATTTGGCTCGATTCCTCTTCGAGATAGAGTTTTTAAAAAATCGCACACTTTGAATAAGTAGGCTTTGAACGGCGCGGCGCACGGTGGGGCCGATTGAAGAATCGTTGGCCAAAACCTTCAAAGATATATGGATCAACCAAAAATATATAGAATTTAACAGTTTTTGCTTAATTGAATTTCTAGGTAGCCAATCTTCAAAATTTTAGTTAATTAAATTATACTTCACGTATATACCCAGCATATTAGCTCATCAATATAATGTGAGAAAAAATACCCGGATGACCAAACTTTTACACTTTTGCCTTGCAAGCCATTTCGAATATTGTTGTCTTGTGGCATGTCTGTCTGTCTGTTTATCGGTCTGTTTGATATATTTTTTTATCCATATGTAACCAACAACTTTGATAAAAAAAACAAATATTGTTTTTGGATTCTAGTTTTGAAGAAGTAAAAAAATAATTATTTTCAATCGTGGTCTCACATGTCTCAAAATGAGTAGTCGGCACGTAATCAAGAAAGTATGGGCTAGATTTTTCGAGGACCTATTACAGGCAAGCATCTAAAAATTAATTTCGGATAATGAGGGGGTTCCAAAAATTTTAATAACCATTTCTGGGGAAGGGTGGTTTTGGGTGCCGGATTTTTTTTTTCTCCTTCTATTTTTGGATTGCAGCAACTAAAATATTTGAAATTTAGCGTAATGTAATGTGTTCAGTTAGGTTAGTTAAAAATAATTTGTTTAAATGCTTAAATTTTTAAAATCGGTTTATTATTTTAGTACATATCATAGTTTGAATTTACGTGCGGATATTTTAATAAGTTAAGCCGCCATCTTGAAATTTCAAACTGTCATATTTAGACTAAAACGTAATATTTTTAAACATATTGCCTTACTTCAAATCTCCATGTTGTTCCATTAAAAAGATAAAAAAGGAGTGGGGAGTTGTATATTATCTAAGCCTCGATCTAAGCATTAATTCAGTTAAAACCCACAAAATTTGAAGATTTGAGGTGGGGTGGGACTGAAGGGTCTAGGACTCTTGGACCCCCTAACTATGTGCTTGATTACAGGCGATTCATGAGTATCAGATTTTATTATAATCACACGAATTTAATCTAAATAAATCATAAAGACCTATAGTATCTATTACTCAAAGTATACCAGGGACATACTTACATTTAAAAATATATTTTTTAAAGTTGCGCAAGATGGTAACAAATACATGAAGGGTAATGCCCAATCTTTCAAAAAACATCAGCTAATAAATTGGGCAACTTTGGGCACTCAACAAAACTCAAGGTTAAATAGCATATTTTATTTTTTATATTATACTAATTTATTAATTAATTTAGTATGCATCAGTGAAAAAGTTTTTTTTTCAAAATATAGCTGGAAATAGTCAAGTAGTATTGTACTTTTATAAAAAATGCAAAAAATTAATTGTATTTAAAAATTAACCAAGAAATTTTACTTATTATTGGGGCCCTACAAATTGCAATTACTATACACAGTAGAACTAAACCTTCGACATTACAGCCCTTCACTGGTTACAGATCTGCATCCAAAATTTATTTCTGTGCATAATATAATATTTAGGTCTTTTCTGTATTCTATGGTCATCAAAACTTTTTGAAAAAGCAACTTCTGTTTTATAAGGTTCTGGCCGCAAAAATGGCAATCGGCCCCACTGTGCGGCGCCGACAGTAATGTAACCATTAAATTCTACGTAAAAAGGTGCTTTGGAAATGTTTTCACTAATATACAAAATTTTGCATAGCAAAATGGATACAGCCATTTGTTAAAAATGCACGTTTTAAAAAAAAACATCCGTAACTCCAAAATGATAGCAGATATCAAAGTGCGGTTTTCACCATCATGTTTTTGGTAAAAGTTGAGCTTCAGACACCAATATCTCCTATAGAAAAGGGGGTTTTCCTTTAAAAGTGTCGATTTTGACCCACCTTGTAAATGTTACCCTTAAAACTACATAAACTACATTACATGTAGTTAATCGGTATATATGATGAACGAATTAAATTGTTCCACCATGTCTTTAGCTTGATTTTCATGCATCCGTTGTCCGACGATACGTTGATACGATATTAATTTGATTGGTTATATTTAAAGGCTTCGATTGGTTAACCGTTTCTAACCAACCGAAGTTTTTAAATTCAACTAATAAAATTAATATCGTATCATCGTATCGTCGGACAACAGATGCATGAAAATCAAGCTTTAAACGTATCGGTCATTGAAAAAGCTAGCTGCGAGAGCGTTTAAGTCATGATAACTAAATCCCGCTTAAGATGGGCTGGTCACCTATGCAGGATGTAAAAAAACAGACTACCAAAATCCTTTCTTTACGGTGAGCTTGTAGACGGTAAGAGGAAACCGGGTGGACAACTCAAAAAGTACATGGAAATTTTCCACAAAAATGCCAGAATCAGTGGGAACAAGCTGCGCACAACAAAACGCAATGGAGAAGAACTGTAAACTCAGTTAACAGCGACAATCAAAAAGTAAAGAGGCAACAAAGCAATGAGGTTTTTGTATGTCCGGAGTGCGAAAGTGAGATAACATCACGTATCTGTTACAGAAAAACTCATTAAAAAAACGCCTTGCGTAACTATCTTCTGATGTGTGTCAAATACTCGTCAGCGAGTAATTGCAATACTAGTAGTAGTAGTAACAAATATCAAAGGTTTGAAGCAGGTTTCAGGATATAATAAGTTGAAGCTTTAGAAAATAAAAAATATGGGTTTAAATATAGCTTTGACATCAAAATTATTTACACTCCATGTAGCTAATGAACGAAAAAAAAAAAAACGTAGAATTTGAAGAAAAACTACACGTAGTATCAGGAAAATTACGTCTTAATTAACTACTTCCAAACTTCCAAACCTACACAGCAGAAACCAGACCTGATACAGCAAAAACAAGAAGATTCTTGGAAACAGGCGAGATGAAAATCCTCGGTAAAACGCTGCTAGATAGAGAACGAAGCGACAACATAAGTGAATGAATGGGTATTGAGCAGAAGGCGCGAATGGAATGAACATATAAGCCGAATGGACGAGGGAAGAACAGTAAGGTCAGCTCGAGACTATATAATCACCACTGGGAAGAAGAAGCCCGGGAAGGCCAAGAAAAAGATGATGTGATAACCTTACCATCGATCGAAACTGTAGGCATGATGTGAAGAATGAATAGGCAATCTGCCTAATATAGAGTAGGAAGAAGAAGAGAATAAGAAACCCTGCGATGATAGCTGAGAGTCCGTCTTTAACTAAAATACATGTTTTTTTTCTGGTAAGAAAAAGTTTTACCTGGTAGGTGGCTCGTATATATCTCCATTATAGTTCCTAGGTGAGCTTTTACCAATAGGTGTGCTAGTGTAATTATTACTGGGTCTCCAATCATCATCTGTCTCGTTTAACGTTCTAAATAATTCAGGAGATCGTGCCTTTAGACCGGATAAAAACACCTTCTTTTCGGATCTGTCACCAAAGGATCTGCTGTAGTTGTTTTCTGGTGAACTTCTGAAACCGTTGTCCACACCATTGCCGTTTCTATGGAAACGTGATGTGTAGACGTCATCGGTGATATCCTGAAAATTCATTGGAAATATCAATATTGTTTTGTATTGTTATGAAAATTTTCTAACAAGTTTTTATTAATATTCTAATTATTAAAGATTGCTATAGGATATTATTATAAAAGAACACCATTAGGACATATATTTTCATTTGAATTATTTTTTGTTTCAGGGTGACATTCCAAAATGTCTTGCTGATTCCGGCAGTTGACAGAAAAAAAATGAAGAAGTTTACAGAGAAGAAAATACAACTTGCGTGTGCATTTGACAGACATAACTGTCAATATCACGTATCTTCTCGTTTAAAAAAAAAATAAATATCAATACAGTAACGACATCGTTGATAAAAATGTAATGAAATGCACACCAAACTAATCCAGGAAAACATAAATTACATCTGTCACTTTTAAATTTATCTCATAGATAAAGAAAACAAATTTAAATTGGAATACTCGGCTTGCCGCCAAAACTTATAATTCTTTTGGAGCTCATACGTTGTAGGGCGCTGCTATAACAGTTGCTAAGAACAACCGCCAAACAAGAACAGAAATAATTTTCTCTTGTCAAAGTCAGAATCTGGTCAGAATCTTCAAAAATTATAAAATCTTTTAAAATTTAAACCGCCCTCATTAAAAAAATACCGAAAAGTGTTTAAAGCGTTCATTTTCAAAGTAATTATTGTTATCTTGTGATTTTAATTTAAATTTTATTTACTCAAACCCGTGATAAATGTGAAAAAGTGGCATTAAAAACTTAAAAAGCTGTGTGAACTGAGAACTGTAAAAACCATCGTGTATCGTGGCATAACGTCGGTTTCCAATGTTTCATAGGTATTTTCAAACATGTCCTTATATAAAATAAAGTTTCTTATATGAAGCACACTGTATTTTAGTTAAAAAATGAAAAGAAAATAATAATAAATTTGAATGAATAATATTTGGCGACATAATTCCGGAAGAAACCGAATCGCTCCGAAATTATTAAAAGCTTTGGTGAACGACCGTTGTAAGAATAACGCCAAATGATATTTACATTTTCCTTATGAGCACTTTCCAATCTAAACTTGTTTCTTTTATCTATGATTTATCTATCGTTAATTTTCGAATTTAATAATGAAGAAAGCCAAAATGTTGTAATTGATGACAATAAAGAGTACTTAACATTGGTACTACATTAGAACTTATAATATGCTTATAAAGTAGCAGCAGAGTAGTAATGGAGAAGAATTGTAAACTCAGTTAACAGCGAGAACCAAAAAGTTAACGGGCAACAAAGCAATGAGATTTTTGAATGTCCGGAGTGCGGTAGACAAATAACATTGGGCTTTTCAGTCACAGAAAGAAAACGCCTTGTGTGACCATCTTCTGATGCGTGTCAAATACTCATCAGCGAGTAATGGCAGTATGTATGTATGTAAAGTAGAAGCAAGAGAAATGAGAGACAACGAGTGAATGAAACGATTGAGAGAATTGGAAGATGGAAATTAATATAAGAAAGGTCTGTAAAAAAAAATATAAAATAAGGTCTGTAAAGTTAACCGGCGCTTAAAGATGAACTTGGAACTCTGAATAAAAGGAATAGAATTAAATTATTCTGTGATTCTATTAGCAAGGCTTTCATCCAAGGGCCTAATTGTAAAACCACAAAGGGGCTGCTAATACACAGCAGGGATACAGTGCGGATTACAAAATAGGTCTCTTGTCAGGCTTCTATGTGGCTGTCAAGTGCGACCCGAACATGGCCAACATGTTTTAAGAAAGTCTTTTTTGCTGACACTGCGATAGAAATCCTGAAACAACAGAGCACATAATATGTCACTGCGAGGTTCTGGATCGCAAGCGACACTTTCCAGTTGGGAAAGCAAAGCTGGAAGCGGAGGAACTCTGCATCTGATCATCAAGAACCTAGACAAACTGGTGTGGGTCAGAAGAATAGAGGACCGAATACAGACATAGGAAGAGCATAAACATAACTGACCTTTGGCAGTGCTTCAGGCTTTTTAATATTGTTTATTAAGTATTTTTGTATTATAGTTGTAAATAAACCATTATTACGTATTAGAGTTACTGTGATCAAGTAAAAAACCACTTGGAGCTTAGTATCGATTTCAGTAGATTGGACAGTTGATGGAGTTAAACAAGAATAACTAATTCTTCCTAAAAATTTACCTTTTGGCTTCTGTTTAGGCTTGATATGAGTCCGGGACTCTTAAGTCCGCTCGGGTTTTCATTGAGCTTGTGCACGTTGGAATTGGACGTGTACATATTTGGTTTCTTCAATGGTGAGTCAGAGTCGCCTTGAACTATAAGGCTTTTGCTGCGCGCCAAATTCGACTTGTAGGTTCGGGCGGGTTTTGCTGGACCTGAAATTAATTATTATCTTTTAAAATATTACCTAATAAAACAAATGTTCTGTATAATACCGGGTCGCTTTTATGTATGGAAACGGTCGATTATTAGGTAAAATATAGGGGGTACCGCAAAAAGTTAAATATAAAAGTTATAGGGTTTATAAATATCTATTAGCAGATAATAAATTTAAGTATACAGGGTCCGTCATAAAGTCGTGGCACATCAAAGTTTCATTTCTTTAAATAGAACCCCCTGTATATTATTGCATATTTCGGTTCTTCCTTCAATTCTAAGCAAAAATCGAAATAACACAATATACCTCATACTAACCGTTTCCGAGTTATTGACTTTTGAAAATATCACTTAAACAATTTCATTTAATTAATTTCGATATGTTCAGTTTCATTTAACGATGTCATTTTGCCGAAACTGTGGTACTTTATAATATTTTACATTATTGACAATTTGACAATGTGAGTATAGCAAGTCTGGAAATCACAAAATTTTCGTTTAACATTTCAATTCTTCGATTTATGTACATTGTGTTTTACGATTATTGTTTAAAATTGAAGGAAGAATTGAAATATGCAATAATATACAGGGGGTTTCATTTTAAAAAAAAAGTTTGATGTGACGCAACTTTATGACCGACCCTGTATACTTAAATTTACTAGTAGCTAATAGGAATTTAAAAACCCATTCCAACAGTATCAGAGTTTCGACAGAATGGCATCATTAAATCAAACCAAACACATCGAAATTAATTAAATCTAATAATTTATTGTTTAAGTGATATTTTCAAAAATCAATAACTCGCAAATGGTTGCTTTGATGTACATTGTGTGTATTTTGATTTTTGCTTTGAATTGAAGGAAGAATTGAAATATGTAATAATATACAGGGGTTCTATTTAAAAAAATTAAACTTTGATGTGCCATGCCTTTATGAACGACCCTGTATACTTATATTTATTACTCGCTGATAGATATTTAAAAATCCTATAACTTTTGTGTTTAACTTTTTGTGGTACCTCCTATATTTTACCTAATAATCAACCGTTTCCATACATAAAAGCGACCCTGTATAAACTGACCAGAGAGGATGCCAAAAATGGAAAGGATATTCCATTTAAAAAATCATCCCGATCCCCTCACATTTTTTGAGCTGCATTGTAGAAGTAGTAAATATTTTCCTCAAATACATCCTAGTACATACTCCCTTTTTTTTATCTTGACACTTAAAAAACATTTCTAACTTCTTTATTAGAGAAGCTACAGATACCCGACCGACGCGATGCACTGTTGCAGGATCCTGTATATTTTTATATTTTTTAATTTTTCTGTCAAACGGTATAGAAGTTTGAAAAAGTAATTTTGAGATAAATGTATATTATGTTTTTCTCAAAATCTTATTATTAAAAAAGTTTGTTTTTTCTTGTAAGGACGATCTTGAGGCATACTGTAGATTATACATGTTTAGTTATCATTATCTCTGTGTGAGTTAACACACTCAAGTAAGTTAACAGCATCATTAAGATACGCGTGTAACCACACAAGTATCTTAATGTTAACTCGCGTGTATTGTACAATATTTTATCTAGGTCTAACTATAAAAACACACAATGAATTTTAAAAATTATTGTACTTAACCATATTACCTATCCTAAAAATCAATTACCTTAATACCTTTGTTCAAATAACACCATGCATGGCAATGTCAATATGACAATAAATAATATTGATGTCATTAGTTTAAAAAATGAGCGATTCGGAAAGTATTCCCTCTGATATTGAAGAAGAGGCATTCAGAGCCATTTTTGGATTGCTTCCATCAAGATCGAAACAGAAGTATGCACCGAAAAAAAAGTACACAACTATGGAAATGAAAAGGTACTCATAACATATTTTTCCAATTTAGTGCAAAAAAAATATTTTACAAAATGTTTTTTTTTCTCTTTCGTAGTAGACATCTAAACAGGGAGTGCGGTAATGAAAATGCGTGAGTTAAGAAGCTCTTAACTCACTCAAAATGCGTGAGTTAACAGCTTCTTAACTCACTGACGCAGATAAAACATGTAACGATGTAAATAAAACTCAAAATTATAAAAATCGTCAATGGAGGTGATTATTTAACTTCAATTTCAGATCCTAACAACTTAAAAATTCTAAAAAGACTTACCGTCGTTCACAAATCTAGGAGACGCCACCGTATTTATAATAGACACATTTATGGTACTATTGGACCGATTGTTCCCGTTCAATCTGGTAGGAGGCTCGTACTTGTTCAAATGCCTCGGCAACGTCTGCGAGTTCCTCTTCTCCTCACTGGTACTACTCGCCAACCTCCCCGTCGACTTACTAAATCTTCCGAGAGTACTCTGCGATCTGCAATAACAATTGTTCAATCTGGGATTAGTACCGCGCCGATTAACAATGTAATGCGGTGAAATTAGTGGGTAAGTGGGGGAAAAACCGATTGAAAAATTATAATAACAACAAAAAAACAATTTCGTATATGGTAGCGGTTGTCCCCGATCTTGATACGGAAATGTTTGATGTGAAAAGGACGAAAAAATGTGGGCGGTAGTAGTTTGTAGTAATGCCGGTCATTTTTGCACGGACTGCCTTTAATGTTTCGATGTTATTTATAAATTAGCCGTTAATTGCGATGAGGTTATGATGAGAATACTTTAAATCATTCTTTTTCAAAACTTCTCAGACCACAGCCTAATAATGACCAGCCTGTCGAATTACGATCAATTGCATATACACTCACGGGCACCTTTTTTCATGTATTTTAAAGTTTAATAAATTTTGTTCTAGTGGGTCGATTTTGATGATTTTTTAAGTAATGTTTAGCTAAATTATTTGGTTTTTTAGTGTCTCTTTCTAAATTAAAAATTAAGTTTTTTTCTGTCCATTATACGAGGGAAAACAAAATATAGATATTTTGGTGAAAGTTTGAAACACCCTGTGAAGTAAGTTAGCAATGCAAGGAATTTAAAAATTATTTTATCATCCAGGTACATCTTTTCTTGATAGTTTGCTTTTCGATTGATTTCCATATCTTTATTTTTATTGATGATATTCGCTTTTAAATACGACTCCTCATAAGGGTCCTCATCAACACAATAGTTCTAAGCCTGCATCCACATGGGTACGTTGGATCACGGATATCACATGGATCACGGATCCGTTGTAACCACGTGACTACTGCCAACCAATCAGACTGCTGGATGGTTTTACGTACGTCTGTGAAGGTCATCACGGAGAGAAGTTGGTTAATTTCAACTTCAGTACGTGGTTTCTGTCCGTTTTGGGAGTTGTTTGTTTACATTATTTAAATTTATTTTGGCCGTTTTGTTTTTGGGGTTTGGAACTTGTGTTTGTGTTTTGAAAGTTTGAGTTTTACGATGTCGACTGAACAAACGCAGTTCAAATGTGGATATTCTGGTTTTGTAATAAATAGTCACTAAAAATAACTTTTTTAATTTTCTGACGATAACTTGATCGTTGCCACACAATTTTCTTTTTCAACTCCTTGGACATAGTTCCAAGGAGTTGAAAAAGAAAATTGTTACTAGTCATTCTGTAGCTAGTAGATTCTCGCAGAAAATAAACAATTTACACAGAAATATTAATAAAATGCGGCAATTCAAAAGTTCAAAACATTCAAAAGAAAGTCCACAGAACCAAACAACAATAAAACGAAATGACAATTGACAATATTGACAATCACGGATACGTAACAACGGATGCTCTATATTTGGATGGCTTAAAATTCACGTATACGTTTAACGGATACGGATGTCCGTGATCACGTATCCATGTGGATGCAGGCTGAAATAGTGTTTACTGTTTATGTCACTGTTATTGACATTATTATGTTTTTTTATGTCACTGTCATTGAAGACTTTATGTCACTGTCATTGAAAAGTTATATTATTATTATTTTGAGTACTGAAGTATCCTCTATAGCTGTTTTAATTGATCATGGTAGAGATCAACTTTTATACTTAAAACCATATCTGCTAGAGTAATTGCACAATAAACAGTAATAATATGATTCTTCAAAGATAGTGACATTGCATAAATCATAAACACTATTAGTGTTTACTTGACTAGGACAAAAAGCAAAGGGATGGATTTAATTTAAAAAATACGAAAAAATGTTAGTATCGTCTTCAAAAACGAATATCTCGAAAAGAAATACAGCTACTGAGATGAATCAAAAAACAAACTATCGATAAAAATACACATAGATGATAAAATAAATTTTACATTCCTCTCTTTGTTAACTTACTCTACAGGAACTTTTACCAAAATATCAACATTTTCGTATCTCGTATAATTGATATATGGTAACTTTCATTTTTAATTTAGAAAAAGATACTAAAAAGTCAAATAATTTAGCTACAAATTTCTTAAAAAATCATCAAAATCGGTCCACTAGAATCCAATATATAAAACTTTAAAATACATGAAAAATTTAAGGTGTCCATTTTTCTGCTGGTGAGTGTATATTGACGTATCTACTAGTGTTGGGAAAATTCGAATTAAATAATACGACTAATTCGATAGTAAATTAAAACTAACTAAATCGAATTATCTTTTTCGATATAATCGAGATAAAAATTAGTAGTGTTTTATATTAATCTGTGCTAACCGAATTACAAATGAACATAAAACATAACCTCTTATGGACGAATACGAATATTATAGTAATTAGTATAGTATAGTCTATAAAATGAATAACTTTGAATTTTGACCGTTATTTTTTACCAACATGGTAAATATAAAATTCCTCTGTCAAAAAAGTTACTGATATTCTTTAAATTGAGTGCCTGAACGAATCAGATAGGTAACTCTTTTTACTTTCGTGGAATAGAAAAGGAAAATAATAAAACAAGTGACAGTTCTTCCTCTTCTTACAAAAATCAACACAATTGTCAAAAGTAAAATATCATCAGCTTTTGACATTTCTAAATATCAGACCAATGCCGTCTCTAATAGAACAGCCTCGGAGCGAGATTTATGACGTCACGCTAGTTAGATACTACGGATTAATAAATATGTTGTAGAATACATGGAAAACATAATAATTGCTCGTATTTTTGGTTTGTATTTTAAAAATGATATAGTTTACATGAAATATACATAATATACAGTTAATAAATACAATATATATATACCTATTTATAGTAATAAATAACTTTGGCAAATAAATTATGAACCATACAAATGCAGCAAATGTTTTACAATATACAAATAATGAATTGATACATCAGATAATGGGTAAAATGTAAAATATATTTTAAATTTTGGGGTTTGAAAATCGATCTAATTTAACAAAAAACATTCAATATCTACTAATAGTGAGGTATTATTATTTGCATTCACAAAATGTATATGTATATTTTGCAAGTATCAATGTTCGAAAAATTATATTTGCAAATAATACAATATCATAGAAAAAAGGCTGCAGCGATGGCTATGAAATAAAGATCGCTGTCATTTTATATGTAAAATTATTCTAAAATTTTTTATTTTCTTGGGATTTAGGTTCGGGAAAAACGCTGATTAAGTTTTCATTTGTTTTTTCATTATTTTTTTTGGTTAAAAAAAAAACGTTTCGGCTAACATCATAGCCTTCATCAGTGTTGTGTCATATGAAAAAAATAGTGTCGAATATAATCCAAAAAATTACATATAAAATATTCACACAACATAATGTTTACTGCAATTAATAAACTAATATAAACTTGTCAAAAGATGACCACGTATTTTTTTTAAATTATTATTCTTAACACTAAAACTATCTACATTGACTATGGAATACGATTTCAGCCATAGTAAGTAGTAGATATTGAATGTTGTTTGTTAAATTAGATCGATTTTCAAACCCCAAAATTTAAAATATATTTTACATTTTACCCATTATCTTATGTATCTATTCATTATTTGTATATTGTAAAACATTTGCTGCATATATATCGTATGGTTCATAGTTTATTTGGTTTATTTGCGAAAGTTATTTATTACTATAAATAGGTATATATATTGTATTTATTAACTGTATATTATGTATATTTCATATAAACTATATCATTTTTAAAATACAAACCAAAAATACGAGGAATTATTATGTTTTCCATGTATTCTACAACATATTTATTAATCCGTAGTATTTAACTAGCGTGACGTCATAAATCTCGCTTCGAGGCTGTTCTATTAGAGACGGCATTGCGTCAGAATGGCCGCAAGTTGCTAACCTAATAAAATTAACACTATAAAAGCCCGCGGGAACTGTCAAATTCAAAGTTATTCGTTTCACAGACTCTACTATTAGTAGTATTCTTTTGTTCTGAACGAACTGAAAATTTTCACTTAAACTGATTTATAAAGAGAATCGACAAAGAAAGGAACGATCCGATATAGAAAAATCCAGAAATCATTGTTATTTCCTATACCACGTAGGAATAAATCAGTTTAAGTGAAAATTTTCATTTCGTTCAAAACGAAAGAATACTACTATTATTTGGTTCATTTCCATCTCACCCAAATTTCACCGAACACTAAAATTAATTTTCTTCTTTTATCTAAATAATTATTGATTGCAACTGATAAAATAAAAAGAAATTCGAACCGCACGTAAACAAGGACATACTTATATCGTTTTAGAAGAAGCTTTTATTTTAGATATGAGCTTTTCAATAGGAATTGAAACAATCATAAACTCGGCACTTTTAAATTTAAAACTTTAAATTATGGTTTAATTTATTAAACGGCTTCGGCACAGTTAATAGAACACATTGAATAAAGATTTTTTATTTATTTTTTATTCAGTGATAGAATATAGGTATGGCAATGGTTCAGATTTGTTTAAAATAGCCCCTAGACGAGCACTAGCTGGGACGAATTTATTTTTAGGTTAAATTTATAATACTACTAAATAATTCGAATTATTAATTCGATTGTGAAATATGAATTATTACTAATTATTCGATGGTGAAAATAATTCGATTATTCCCATCACTAGTATCTATCTACCTACCTAGATATTCGCTTATTTTAACTGTTATTTAATAAGTAGGGTTCTGAGCTACATATATTGAAGCTTCGCTTAATTGAGGCTGGTACTTAGATTTTTAAGGTAAAAATAAAATTAATATTGTTCTCTTACGGGAAGCAGATATCTAGGTTTGAGATTTCGTATGTGGGTACTTTGTTTGCAAAAACTGCGATCGATTTGGTAGTCGTCTGGACAAAAAAGGAGATCGCCAAATAGAATTATGCATCCTACGCATATTAAATAGCGTTTTATATAAGAACCATCTATTAATTTGTTTAGGGAAATGTCAAGATTGTTTGAAAGTAATGCAATT